CTGTGATAACCAGTTTGGGAGAAAATCATTTTTGTAGCTTCTGAGTTTGACAATTCAGTTTCTGAACATGTTGGTGCAAGCAAACTGATACTGAATTTTCAGAATTTTTGTTTTACAGTTAGGCAAAGCTCACATCCAGGATTAATTCAGAAAAATAAAATTTCATTATACTGGTGTCAGACAATTTTTGGTTGTCTTTTTTTTTTTTTTGCACGAGTTTACAACCATATGATGATGATGTAAAACAAGATTACTGAATTTGTGGGTACTAATCACAACAGCACTCCACCTCATTTGTATGCAAGATTTTGTGCCAGCTCACATTTATGCCGTGCCAGTTTCCATGGGCTGTCCTATGTTGTAGGGGCAATACAAAATGGTTTGGTTTGCTCTGTGTATACAACTTGTCAAAAAGCAGCTGCGGCAAGTTTGTTTTCACAAATCTGTTTTCTGTGAATGGTAGGACAGACATCAAAAAGAAAAATACTGCAGGTGGAAGGGCTAAAGGCGCAGCACTTTGTGAGTATTGAGGTATTGATATTTTTGCATTAAAAAAAAATTTTTTTTGCTTGTCTTTTTGAACCAATATAAAACCATTTAATGATGATTAAAAACAAGATTACTCATATTTATGTTCTTAAAATTTGGTCTCTATTCAATTTGGTGCAAAAAGAGACAAAATATTATGAATTTATGTTAAACAGCTATGACATTTTTAGTAAACATTATAAATTTGAGGTATCTGGGAAAGTACTAGAGTTAATGAGCTTTGGAAGTCAATAGATTAAAAGCTTGTACTATTTATCAATTTCCGATTTCAAAACTTATAATCCATTAAATTAAATACACAAATTATAATTAGATACAGTTAATATCTTTGCTATTTGTTGGTTTATTCAATTATAATTATTTTTTTGAATAAGAATACTTTCTTGTTAAACATAAACGCAACAGAGTTATCTCTTATAAATATTTTAACCTGAACGTGTAAGGACTTTATGAAAAGATCACATTAACTGTTCTAAAAATAAAGTAAATTACTCTTTTCTTGCCATCAGCACATGAAGTATGGGGTGTTAGTGCCAGATTTTTGTAGACCAACTGGCACTTGACAAATAATGTGTAAACAGTTTTACATTAGGTAACCACTGTCACCTTTGAATCTGCCTTTCATGCCAGTTTTTGGAAAATTCAAGATCATCATTTTTGTATAACTTGTCACTTGTTACAGATGATCTGTCAAATAAATAAAAATTGCTTAATTTATAAAATAATGATTCTTTTGTACACAGGTGCATAGGCAATGTAACATACATTATGTCAAAATGGTTATACAATGAAACAATAAATAATTTTGACCTGAAATACAGTGTAGAAAGTCCTGGAAAGAAAAGACTGCTTCTCTGAACATGGAAAAAGACACCACAAAATTGTGGAGACTGACAAAGGCACTTAATGATGACAACCCATCTCATGGAAAAACAGTTCTCCAACAAGAAGGAAATCTACTCACAGGGAAGGAAGCAGCGACTCTGATGGCCCGAAACTATGAGAAAGAAAGCTCATATTCAGTAACCCTGGAGCAAAAGAAAGCAGTCCGAGATGGGATAAACTCCATATTCAAAAAAGCCTCTTGTGAGCCATGCATGGAGACAGACATCACTCTAACTGAGCTACTAAGAGCAATGAGAAAACTCAAGTCAAAGAAGGCACCTGGCCCAGACGAAGTTTCAAACGACATGCTCAAACATATATGGGTCCAGTAGCACAAAACATCTTACTCCAGATATACAACTATAGCTGGAAACTAGGCAGAGTCCCAGATATCTGGAAAAATGCTATAATCCACCCTATCCTCAAAAGTGGCAAGGACAAGAAGGACCCTCAGAGCTACAGGCCTGTCAGTCTGCTAAGCTGCCCCGCAAAACTGATGGAGAGAGTGCTAGCCACCAGACTTCAGTGGTTCCTAGAAACCAATCACAAACTGGATCCCGCTCAGACAGGCTACCGACAGCACAGAAGCACTGATGACCAGGTAGCATACCTTACACAGGACATAGAAAATGGCTTCCAGGAAAAGAAGAAAACCCTCACAGTCTTTTTCGATATGTCCAAGGCCTTTGACAAAGTATGGAAGGATGGCTTGATGCTAAAGCTCTTACATAGTGGAATAAGAGGCAGAATGTACTACTGGATACAAGACTTCCTATCACACAGGCGGGCATCTGTGAAACTAGATGAAGCACATAGTCCCAGATTCAAGCTGAGAGCAGGAGTACCACAGGGTAGTGTACTGTCTCCAGTCCTGTTCCTGATTTACATCAACGACCTACCTCAAACTTTACCCAGACATGTATCACATTCTCTTCATGCAGATGACCTAGCTGTGTGGTACACCTCTGAGTTCATTGGACCTGCTATATCAAAACTCCAGGAAAGTGTGAATAGTGTCATAAACTGGGCCAACAAATGGGGCCTCGAAGTAAACAGGAACAAAACTGTAGCAACACTCTTCTCATTGTCTACAAAGGAGGAAAAGTTTACATTAAAATTCAACAATGATGCTGTTCCACGCTCCAATACTCCAACCTTCCTGGGAGTCAAGCTTGACAGTCGTCTGACATGGAAACATCACATACTAGAAACTAACAAAAAAGCCATGAGAAAACAAGGTGTGATGAAGAAATTGGCAGGCACCACTTGGGGAGCAGACAGTTGTATCTTGAAGCAGGTATACACCGGCACAGTCAGACCAACTCTCGAATACGCATCATTGTCATGGATAACAGCAGCCCATTCCAATAAACAGATACTAGACAAAACGCAAAATAGAAGTCTGCGTACAATTCTGGGAGCCATAAAATCTACACCTATTGTAGAAATGGAAAAGGCAGCCAACATCATCCCCTTAGAAGAAAGAAGAAGGACAAAAGCAATTCTACATGCTGAAAAAATGAAGAGAATGTTAAACCACCCATTACACGAAAAATTGGCAGCCAGGACAAAAAACAGAATAAAGCGCACAAGCCTAAACCATCTAACGAAGGAATTTGGAAAGTCATTCTCTTCACTACTTAACCAACAATGTACACCTGAAGAGCTATCTTTTGATCTCTGGGACTCCGAATTAGTGACACTCAATGTGTCAACATCCATCCCGAACCTGGGAAACAAAGATGCTGAGCCCGCTTTAGTGAAGAAAGCACTCACAATGGAACACGTCAACAACATGTTCCCACAGGACAGCTGGACAAGAATCTACACGGATGGATCAGCAAAAGAGGCAACTACGAATGGTGGGGCAGGTGTCTACATAAAACACCCAGATGCCACTACTGTGTCCCTAGCAGCCCCCACCGGACGAACTTGCTCTAACTACAAGGCAGAACTCTCAGCTCTATTGATGGCAGCACAGTATATGAACAATCTGCAAATCACCGCAGGCAGGATAGTTTTTCTCACTGACTCACTGTCAGCTGTACAGGCCCTTGAGTCCAAACCTACCGACAGCACACTACAAAGTATAACACAGGAACTTGCTATGTTGTCAAATAAGGCAGAAATTCACTTGCAGTGGATTCCGTCTCACTGCGGCATCAAAGGCAATGAAAGCGCAGATGCTTTAGCCAAGGAAGGCAGTAACAAACTACAGACCTACCAGCCACTATCTTTTCCAGAAGTCAAAACTCTCATTAAGAGAAAATCAGAAACAGACTGGAAAAACAACACTGGTTATGACTACGGAAAAGATTTTCTGAGGCACTTGAACAGAACAGACCAAGTCACAGTTTTTCGCTTACGCACTGGACACTGCAGACTCAATAAACACTCATATAAATTAGGTATGAGCCAAACAGCTCTCTGCCAGTGTCTTCGTGCTGAACAGACTCCAGAACATGTCCTGCAAGACTGTCCTCTCCTGGCGGAGCTGCGGAGCGACATATGGCAACACCCAGTAGAACTGACAACTAAGCTTTGGGGAAACCTAAGAGACCTTGAAAAGACATCCCAGTTTATGACCCACAGTGGATTATGCGCATGACCAGAGATCGCTGAAGAAGAAGAAGAAGAAGAAGAAGACCTGAAATAAAAAAATAAAAAAAGCACCAAGTCTATTGTGCATGTAACTCTCTCCATCTTTAAAAAAAATCATTATTCTATTACTTTGGAAATAAAGATGAGCTTGCACAGGCTGCAGGGAACCTTGTGTAGCTCCACCCATCCAGAGCTTTAAAGATGTAGATGCACTTTGACAAATGCATGAAGACAAACTGGAAAAAAAACTTGCCTACTGCAAATTGAGTGTATAACAATCTTGGCCAAACACACACACACACACACACAGACACAAAAACACACACACATACACACACATGCACGCAAGCATGCCCAAACACACATGCTCCCATGCACACACGTGCACACACACAAAAGTGGAAACCAGAATGTTCAGACACATAACTGGACACTGTAAACTCTGAATACACCTACATCAAATTGATCTTGCTATATCTGTTTTACATAGTTGCGGTGCACCTAGACAAACTCTGGGGCATGTCTAACAACACTGTCCAGACTTTACCAGTCAGATAGAAGAAATCTGGCCCACAGGAACGACCCTACACAATAACCTATAGGGCACCTGTAAAAATCCCAAGCACACTGATCTGTTTGGGACCTGTATCAGATTCAATGCACCAAAGAAAAAAAGAAGAAACTTAAAATTCACAACAGAATGTTGAATGTTGAATTAGGAATCAACATCATAGCACTCGGGACACTCCTATAAGTACTCCATCCCCATCTTCAGCAGCACATAAAGAGTTAAAATTCCGATGGCACCAGTACCCGTCTGATTGTACATCCGTCTCGCCTTTCCCTTGAGTGTTGAGCATCAGCCAGACCCCCCCCCTAGTAAATTCACAAACAGAAAAACATACACTGTTTTGAAGCAAAGTAAATAATCAATAAGTGAGATAAAACAACACAGAAAATCTCACCTCAACAACTGTTTGTATTTAATCATAGAAGCCTCAAAAGCTGCCTCTAAATCCTGAAATTAAAGATATAAAATGAATGATTTGAAACATGCCAGAAAAAAGAAAGAGAATAATTAAAGTATGATTCAACAATATAGAACATTTTGGAAATCTAAACAGTTAAGTTATCATCATCATCAGGCGCCTTGCAGACTGGCGTTGGCAATGATGCCTCTCCATAATCTGCAATTTCCTGCAGCAGGTATCAGTTCGTGTGCTGACACACCTCCATGCCATGCAACAAAACTGTCAAGTATCTTTTCTCGTTGTCTTCCTCTATCTCTCCTTCCACAAATCTTTCTAGTGGTCACAACATGTTCTATTTTCCCTGTTCTCCTAACATGGCCAAAAAATGATGACTGTCTCCTTCTGATGTCTGTGATAAGTTGTCTTCGGGCTTCTACCTCTTTCAAAACCTCTTGGTTGCTCTTTTTGGCTGTCTAAGGTATTCTAAGCACTCTTCTGTAAAACCACATCTCTGAGGCCTCAAGAAATTGTTTGTCCTGCCTACTGATTGTCCAGGATTCACAGCCATATGTTAAAATTGGATGTATGTAGCAAGCAAGAATTCTTTTTCTAACTCTCAATGACAAGGATATATTGCACAAGATGTTTTTCATTTTATAAAATGTAGTTTTTACCTGTCCTATTCTGTTTCTCATTTCAGTTATGTATCTTTCATCTGCTAAGTTATAAGTAAGCTAAAATTAATGTATTTGTCCCCCCCCCCCCCAAAAAAAAAAAAAAAAAAAAACTTACAATACATCAGTTTGTTACTATATTCACAACATAATTTCTAAACATCTTTTGTCTATTTGTGAAATTCTGACTATTATTGACATTTTGAAGAAGGTAATTTGCCATTGCTTTCCTACTTGGCTTTGACCATAGTGATCGGGTGACCGATGCCACTGTCTTAATGGTATGATCCTCTGCCTACCAGAGGGAAACTTCAGACTATAGTCAGCAACTATCTGTTGGCTGCTCTTAGGCTCAGTCCACCACCCACTTCCACGATTTCCCACCATTTTCCATGACCAGAGTTTTGAATGATTAAGTTTTAAAATCACTCACTATTGTTTGATAATCCTTCTATGCCATGCTGATAAGTGTAGGCAGTAAGTTTTTGTCATCTCACACGATCACTAGAATCAAGGACAGCATCTGTTTTCTTATATCGTCCATACTATGTCGTCAAGTCATACAGATATTTATGCATTTTTTCTCCTTGCTCTTGTTCTATCAGCTCTGTCTTTTGTCACTGAGGTTTCACGATTACATTTTCTCATAAAATATCCCCAAAAAATGCTGACTGATAGTGTTTAATGTATCAATTTTGCAGTTGCTGTCTATTTCTTGGGACGACTGATTTATTTGTTTTTATGTTTGTCTATAGCATTCTTTACAGCAGGGCTATTCAACTAAGTTTACTAACATGTTGAAAATGGGGATCGTCACAGGCTACCAACCTGAGCCCTAGCACAGAAAGATCAATAATACAACCAACTGGCAATGATCAATACACTAGGGCTCTGAGGGCCAAATCCAGCCCATTGGCTACCAGTTAAATAGCCATTCTTTACAGTTTCCTAAGGGGAAAAAAAAAAGTCTCACTGCCATTAGATGTCTCTTAGCTTGTGCGCTTACTGTTCATGTCTTGTTAAATGCAAGTATGCCTCCTTTGCCCATGTATAAAAATGGCCCATAAATGAAGCAAAGATTTGTAAAACTAACTTACCATACATGTCATAAGAAGCAAAAGGAGGGTTGGCATGAGGCAGGTAACCTAATCCTGTAGGGAATTTTAGATTTAAAAAATCCAACAAAATCATGAACAAATCTACAAAGGTGAGGCAAGGTTTCATTGAGAACCTGCACAGCAGGGAACAAAAGAAGAGCAGAAGAAAAGAAAAAAGGACACTTCATAATTTTCTATTATTGCCTCACCTCTTTACTGAATCTGCCATGTGCAGTATGAGGTCTTTGTGTAAAATATTTGATCACTGTGGAGAAAATTAAAAAAAAAGCAAAAGTTTAGCATGAGCACAAGAGAAAAGCTGGCATATAAATAAAAAATAAAAATTGTTACCAAATAACTTTCACAATGTTTAAAAACTGTCTGAGAATAAAAAGCGTTGATGAAAGAAACTAGTTTGCCCACCTCATTCTTCTTTTTCACCTGTAGAAGAGTGATTGTCACTAAACTGTGATACTGGCACCATTCAGCCCAACACATCAAACTTCAGCAAACTCCTAAAAAGTCTGCTATTGCAACATGTTTGTTGTGGGGAGTGGGGGGGGGGGGGGGGTATCAAAGGGCCTATATTCCCCCCCCCCCCCCCCCACAATAAGGAGCCCCAGAACTGAAACAAGATGCCCACTTCATTTCAGTGTTTTCTAGAGTATGGGAAGGTCCATTATTCCTCTCCCTAATAGTTTTATCACACATGGGACTACCATCACCTCTGTTTTAAATGAGGAAAAACTAAGTAAATCTCAATAAAGAGTCTTTTTCCTTGTCCTGAAATGTGCTAGGTATATGGAGCTAGCCCCAAACTGTTACAGATCAATCAGCATTGTAAGGTAACATGGTTGATACAGCCACCTTCACTTACTAGAAATGTCCTTGTACTTTCTTACAGACTGAGTCAACTTGGGAGTTTGAAGCTCTACACTTCAGTGCATCCAGACAAATTAAATATTAACCCTTTTGCCCTGAGAAACCACAAAACCAACACTTCCAGTTGGGTCCATTTCCTCATAAATGTCATTTTACTGACTTGCCTATAGTGACCTGTTTATGAGAGGCATAGTCAAGCAATATGTGCAGTTCATGCTTGTGCACAATGTAGGAGGTCAGGATATGCAGACATTAACTAAACATAGAATTCTGTGGGTTTTCCTTTAAGCCAAATAGTTTTTTTTTATTTTTAAAGCGAAGCTGACGTTAAATTTCCCCTTAAGCCTCAGTGATACAGGCTAGGACATGAGTCACCTGATACATATGTTTTATATAGTTTGCAGGAATGTATTACATTTAGTGCTTCACCCTTTTAATGTTAAGGACTAGTCCTATCATATATCTGTATATATTTCACCCATACTAAAATGTAGATAAATAAATATTCCATGAATTTGTTAGTGACCTGTAAAAGATTGTTGCTTTTTAAAGAATTTGTATGCAGTTCTAAAGCTATTAGGTTCAGTTCCCCTCTCACCCTTTATTTTAGCGCTCCTGGGGAGAAAGGGTTAAGATACTGAAAAAGAAAACTACACATAAATATATTACCCTTCTGAAGCTCTGGCTTGTCTAGTTCCAAAATGTCTTCAGTAAGAGTTTGTGACTGTGTTTTGGTTGAATCTGGAGTCCGGAACACAACTTTGAAGTGTGTCTGCAAATTGAGAATGCTCATGTAATTTAACTAATTCACTCCAGGGCAGTGGTTACTTTGACTGGTTTTTATCCTAAATGGTTATTTTAGATTGTTCTATTTGAATAATTATTTTAACTGGTTCTATCTGAGTACAGTTTTCTTTAACCGATAACATTTACAAAAATTGTTACTTTAAATAGTTATGTCCTCAATCATACTTGAATTATTTATATCCTAAGAAGTTATATTAAATGATTATATTTTAACAAATGCTTCATTTGATTCTATCTTTATAAGCTGTTAATTTAACTGTTTCTTTTAGAATAAGTTGTTACTGTAACTGAAAGAAAAAAAAGAAGCTAATGCACATAATCTGAAAGAAAGAAAAGCTCAACAAACAATTTCAAATATGTATATCCAGATCTTTAACATTCATACATTTCATTTGAATTTTGAATTTAAGCTGCACATACCTGGGAGTCAACATGGGATTGTGATCCACTGGTCACACAATTAGGAATTCCACCAACATTTTCCATAGACTGATCTGGTGACTCAATCAGGCGTGTTGGCAGGGAGAAAAGCTGTCTGTTCTGCCAGGTGTTGTCAAAATTGGCAGCTAATTATAAGAAATAGATAACATAAAAAATTTTGAAAAAAATAAAAGACCTTCTTCTCTGACAGAATTACTACTAAATCTGATTTCTAACTTCAAGTAAGAAAAGGAAAGGGAATTTGCACTGTGAAATAGTCAAGCAATTTGCATCAGATACTGAAGTTCTTGGGTTCACTTCCTGACTACATTGTTCAGTCCATGAATGCAACTTCTTCATAGATCTCTTGATCAAGACTTCAGGTAATGAAAGCAGACAACAAAATTACACGGAGAAGGGAATTAGAGAGTGAAGTGAAAAAGGTAGCAACATGCCACAGCAAAAGACTTCATTTGAGTTGCATGAGGGACCACACTCTATTGAGGGATAAAGAGCAGAATAAGAAGATCACTTCAGAAACAGAGCTCATGCATTCTACTACTCTCTTGGTTGGTGGGCAGCCACTCTGACGGAGCACATGGCAAACAGCATAGACTGATTCTCTTCTCTTGAATTACATTTAACAAGACTAAGAAAATATCACTGGCACATGACATAAAAGTCTTCCCTGAAACCAAATAAATTCATTTTCATGTTATGAGGTCAACAGTGTGTATGGTAACATTTTAAAGACATCAACACTCCATGGGTGAATTATCAATATCATGACTGCCTCAACAACCAGAACATTTCTGGAAACCCTGGCTAATAGTCGATACAAGACCACTCAAAACAAATCCTTACCATGGAGGTGATTTAAACACATGAACAGCAGAGCTGCAGGCAAGCATACTAGCTTCTGTGCTCACATGCCTCTAAGATGATGGTAATAAGCATTACATCTACAAAAATCATCCTACAGTAATTCAAAACATGGTAATAAGGTAAGCACATTTTAATAATAATTTCTACAAATCTAAAACTACTTAGCTGTTTAAATGTTTTAAAGGACATCTTACTGTTTTTAAATGGAAAAAATTACAAAACAAATTAAATTTGCAGTAACAATAGTTCAGAGTATTGTGATAAGTCCATTTTCATAATAATCTCTACAATTCTAAAACAACTTAACTGTTTTAATAGTTGGAATTACCCTATATGCAGATGAAAAAACAAAGAGCACTGTTATGTAGTTTATTAGTACGTTTTCATTTCATATGCTGCAATGCTACATAAATGCAAAAATCATTAATAGCAATCCTATAGCAGATACTTGGGTATACAAGCATGAATATAAAGCAATTTATAATAAAATAAATAACTTTGCATATAACAAAGTCATGCCTGAGAAGTATTGCATAAATGCATACAAAAACTTACACTCAACTGAGCTATAGAAACATAGGGCTTCTTTTTCTCATGCTTTTGATCTCCTAACATAATAAAGATCCTAAACTTCTCACTCAAACTCAAACCATCCTTTGATGCATTGACTGCATTTTGCAGTGATGGTTTTCTAATAGATAAAGTAGGCAAGATCTTAAATGATACACATCTTATTACACATTTAGTAAGTTAACTTTTCAGTTCCAGAATTGCCTGGTGTGAAAATTGCATTACCCCTTGATTTCACTCCATAGTAAAGTGCTCTTTTATTTTTCATATTTGATCAGAACATAATAAAGAAATCTGGCTTCCCCCAATGCTCACTACTGCTGTGTATATTGCCACTCTGAATGCAATTTATTCAAGATTTTTAAAAATGTCTTCACTTTTAATATTATCTCTTTTTGTAACTCAGGCAGCTCTTCTAAGACACCTTACATTGTGATGCTGACTGTATGATATAAGCAGATGTAAAGGAATCAACTCTATTGTGGTGTATTTTATCCTGTATGGATTGGCTCTATACACAGTGGCTGGTCACTCACAAGAGCATTAAACAAATCACAAACTCTGTAGCCCAAACAAGGATCCTTGTGCATCTCCAAAACAACTGTAATCATTAAGAGTAACAGTCAAACACACAACATTCAGAGCATTTTGCAAATGAATTAACCACTTTGCCTTGAAGACCTCTTGTGGGATCTAACCCTTCATACAACTACAGCAGCAACTGCCATGGAATCACATTCATCAATTATATGCATACATGCTTGCATGAATAAACATAATACACACATATACATATATGTGGTACACTCTGTAATGGGCACATAAGAATGCTACGTTATCATCTATGATTACGTACAGTTATGGAATATATCTTACATGTATGAAAAATTGATACTATTACCACACAGTGTGCAGTGTTAACATAAGGACTAATTTTACTTTTAACAGCCTTTTAAGGATCTGTAATGATAGTTACTAGTTGCATATGATATAAATGCTCTTCAACACATGACAGTTATGAATAAATAAAAATATGCATTGTATGAAAGCACATTTTTTCAAATGAAAATAATCTTATACAATACAATATTTCAATGGGGGAAAAAAAGAACAAAAAAATCTCTTGCATGTTACACAGAACTAGTTTTGACATGTAGCTGTGAATTCGGAACAATCAATAGACAACCAAAATATTTCTTGAGTTTTCAGAGGTGTAATTTTACAGAAGAATGCTTACAATTCCATGGATAGCCAAAATGAGTTTTTCTAACCGCTTTGAAAGAGTCTAATTAATGAAGAAATCTTTTTCATCTTTTCACTGCAGTCAACTGAGGTTCATAGTTGCCAATGTGCTGGATAATTATGCCACAAACTTCATCATTTGTAATGTGATCTCTGTATGATATGCCAAGAATGTTTCTGAAAGATCACATTTCCAACACTTGTATCTTCTTTTTGAATTCAACTGTTAAGGTTTACAATAAACAGCCATATGTAACCGTGCTCTGAGCAGTTCATATGTTTTTTGGATCTCCATAATATTTGCTTTTTGACAAGGACTGATGTTGTGTGGGCAACCCTAGGTCACTTAAACTGGATCCTATATATATATATATATATATATATATATATATATATATATATATATATATATATATATATATATATATATATATATATATATATATATATATATATATATATATATATATATATATATATATATATATATATATATATATATATATATATATATATATATATTTATATAAAATCTGTGTGTGTGTGAGAGAGAGAGAGATACAGAGAGAGAGAGAGAGAGAGAGAGAGAGAGAGAGAGAGAGAGAGAGAGAGAGAGAGAGAGAGAGAGAGAGAGAGAGAAAGAGATAATAAACTTAGAAATTAAAAGTAGAATAAACAAGACAGAAAGTATTCATATGGAGAAACTGTATATATTTACACAGGTGAGAATACTCATACAGTAAATCCTTGTTTTAACAAAAATTCAATGGGGCCAACAACTGAGATTGTATTTTTAAAATGTGCACTAAACGGGGACAAATAATAAGAAAGCATCCCTTCTTCTTCTTCTTCTTCACTTCCTCTTTTACCGCTGTGGGTGTCGAGGGAGATATAAGGTTCTGTTTCTAGCTCTTCTGGCTGCCTCGACCATAGGCACATCGTGCTGTTGTAGAGTTTCTCTGATGTTATCCTTCCATCTTGTTCTTGGTCTACCCCGTGCTCTACGTCCTTTTTCTCTTTCCATGTATGCTTTGTATGGTATGGTGTCACAAGGCATTCTCTCTAAGTGGGCAAACCATTTCACTTGCTGTCTTTGTATGTAATCCAGAATTGGTTCTGTGCCGACTTGTTCTCTTATGATCTCATTCCTGATCTTATCTCTTATGGTCACTCCTACAGCCCTTCTCAGACATCTCATTTCCGTGGTTACTAATTTTCTTTAATGGTTTGTTGTGAGTGACCATGTCTGGCACTGGTAGCACAGAGTTGGTATAAATATGCTTTGAATAAGATGTCTCTTTGTGCTGATTGGGATTGTCTTATGCTGTAAGAGGGGGGCTAACTGTCCCAATACTTGGTTTGCTTAACTGCATCTAATGTCAATTTCTTTATCCAATTTCCCATCTTCGGTAAATGTACTTCCCAGATATTTAAACTCAGATGCCTGTTTAATGCCTTTGTATTCTATTGCTATGTTTAGATCTGTCTTCTTTTTTCCTATTGACATTACTTATGTCTTTTCAGTGTTGATTCTCATATTATTTGTTTTACATTCTTCATTCATGGATGTTAGATGTTGTTGCAATTTCATGGCTGTATCTGCTATCAAGGCCTGGTCAACTGCAAAGAGTAATTCGTTGATCTTACTAAGATCTTCATTCATGGGCTTGGCATTCTTGCATATACTGTCGATGTAGGTGATAAACAGCAGTGGTGATAAGACACACCCCTGTCTTACTCCAGATGTCACTGTGAAAGGATGAGATGTTCCCTGATTTATTCTAACTACACTTCTACAATCCCTGTATAAACTTTTGCACACTTCGATGAGGTGTTCGCTTACTCCATATCTTGCCATTATTTTCCATAGTAATTGTCTAGAAAGCATCCCTGCTGGAACCATAATTTTATTCATATTAAATGAGTGTTGTTCTTAAACAAGTTCATGTTAACAAGGTCCTACTGTATTAGTTTGAAATAAAAAGGAAAAAAAAAATATAAGAATATAAAGCTGACCATATTCTTCAAGCAAACAAGTTTAACTTATCAGACAATTAGGTCACCTCTCCATAGTGATAATTAACTGCTGTGGTTCTGTAACTAACCCTCCCTTTGATTTCTCAATGTCATCCTGCCTCTAGTATATGTAGGAGTTTATACAATTAACTGCTCCCCTTTAACATTTCAGTGGATTTATTTATTGGTATAAGTCTGAGTGCAGTCACCCATTTTTTTCATCACTCTTTAAAATGTGTCTACCTATTGGTGGCTTACCTTAAGTTTCTCCTTCCAGTATGGTTTCTGAAAGAGTGCTGTGGTTTCTGTAATAGTGCTGCAGCTGAATAGTTTCATTAGACACTGTTGTATTTCCTCCAACAACCTTCTTTTCTTTCTCATTTTCCCATACGCTCTGCACTTTATTCTTTGACTAACACCTGAAGCTATTGGTCTACAGTGTCAATATTTATTTTTGTGTGTGTATCATCTGTGTGTGTATCATCTGTGTGTGTATCATCTGTGTGTGTATCATCTGTGTGTGTATCATCTGTGTGTGTATCATCTGTGTGTGTATCATCTGTGTGTATCATCTGTGCATGTATCACCTGTGTGTGTATCATCTGTGTGTGTATCATCTGTGTGTGTATCATCTGTGTGTGTATCATCTGTGTGTGTATCATCTGTGTGTGTATCATCTGTGTGTGTATCATCTGTGTGTGTATCATCTGTGTGTGTATCATCTGTGTGTGTATCATCTGTGTGTGTATCATCTGTGTGTGTATCATCTGTGTGTATCATCTGTGTGTGTATCATCTGTGTGTATCATCTGTGCATGTATCATCTGTGTGTGTATCATCTGTGTGTGCACTTCACTGTTTATCAAAACAATCATGAAAAGTGAGGCTGATTCTTATGGTTGTGTTTTGACCTGTGCAGGTTTTAGTAACTAAAAACAATGCACAACAATTTTAAATAGAGTATTTTGGTTTCTTAATTGATCTCATCCTTTATTGCAGCTTGAAAATTTGACAAGACACCCAGTGACTCCAGAAGTTTGACAAGACACCCATGGACTACAGAAGTTTGACAAGACATCCAGTGACTCCAGAAGTTTGACAAGACATCCAATGACTGAAGAGGTTTGACAAGACACTCAGTGACTCAAACTGTTTGACAAGACACCCAGTGACTCCAGAAGTTTGACAAGACACCCACGGACTACAGAAGTTTGACAAGACATCCAGTGACTTCAGAAGTTTGACAAGACACCCAATGACTGAAGAGGTTTGACAAGACACTCAGTGACTCCAGAAGTTTGACAAGGCACCCAGTGACTCCAGAAGTTTAACAAGACGCCCAGCGACTCCAAAAGTTTGACAAGACATCCAGACTCCAGACTCCAAGACAAGGTACACCCAGTGACTCCAGTTTGACAACCTAACAGCCGGTCGGTCGGTAAAGATATTGCTCTTCCCATATGCCCGATGTGCCTATGGCGTAAAAAAGGGATCTTTGCTTTACTTTTTACTAATGTGGCTTGGTGCAGTATATAAAAAATAATTTTTGATAGCTATTACTAATTTATTTATATAGTTCAGAGATACAGTCCTTAAGCAAGCAATGCATATTAACAACAATGCACATGGAAAAGTTATTGATTAAACTTACACTTGTGCATGCAGTATTATGATACATGGCACTATAACAGTGACATTAAGTAATAAACTGAGGCAGATTAACCCTTAATGGAAGTGAGGCATTTTCCATATTTAGTGCAACGTTGTTCTTTTAATCTGAGATCTCAGGTATGGGGGACTTGCTTTCTACTGAACTAGAGCACTAAAATATTGGCCTCTAACTGGATATATATGATCAAAGTATTTGCCTTCTATCGAAAACATATGATTACTGGCCTACTGTTGGAAGTGTAGGATGTAGGACACTGTAACAGTGTCTTATTGGAAGTAAAGACTAAAACACTGGCCTCCCATCCTTTAAGAGTTAATATTTAACAACAGGCCAATAATATATTTCTTTAATTTCTTTACTTTCTGGTTGTTGACAACCCACAACTGGATCCGCAAAAGAATCAAAATTGAACTCTGGAAGTTCCACATTTGGGCTCTTGGAAACAGGTAGAGGTGAGATGACAAAAAGCTCACTAAAGGAATATGATTCCCGAATAATGGAGGAACTCTCACAGGTATGGCCAGGTATTTCTGTAACTGCTGGAGTGTGGCATGTAGCTTCTGAATGTTCATGTAAATTGGAGGCAGTCAGAGACTGAGATTCTTTAGTTTCTTTGGTAAGTTGATTTACAAATATTCAGATAGAAATTGTAATGAATATTTTATATGTACAACAACATACTGAACATTTTTCAACGGTAAATGGAAAGTGTAGCATGACCATCCATCCATATCTATTTGTTTGTCATACTGGTTTTTTACAACCTCAAGGGTTCACCATCTGTTTATTGCTATTGATTACTTCAGAATGCAAACATAATCCGTTCTGAGACGGCATTTGAATTCCAAATAGTTCCAAGGCAATTTGTCCTTTAAATTAATGGAAAGTAAATTAATATGTTCCAAAGTCAAACAAATTCCAACTTTAAAATTCATTTTCCTAAATACAGTACACTGTAAAGATAATCCTATTTGAAAACAAACAGAAATGTATATAAAAGCTATAAAACATTGTACCTACTGTACCTTGACAAAAATGGTGACATAGCTGACAGAAGTAGGAGGAAGAAAGTGGATTTATGGGGATTCTTGTTTGGAAGGAAAGTCATCTTCCAAGGTAACATCAAGAATCCTTTCTGGAGTTTTATATTGTACTTGTTCACCCTTTGCAGAGGGCTTGGGGTTACTAGTTTTTATTGACAGGGAGCGTTCAAAATTGCTTTGGTTTTGGTGACCATTTTTAATTTTTCCTAAATGTTAAATAATGTTATCTTTGAAAAGTTAACACATTTGTTAACAAGGGCTTTATCAGAGTGCCACCTCTTAACAAGCTCTTGCATTTGCGACCACACAAAAATCAGGGATTTTAGCAGTGTTAATCCTTCCAGATTCCTCTCTTCCTCCCTAAAAGAAATTTCTTCAGTAATTTCTTCCTTCTGCTGGTGAATGTGTTGAAGCTCTTGCATTGTCAACTCAGGTGCGTGATGGCACATATCAGGCATTTAATTTCCAAGATGTTGTTTGAGTTCTGAGGCAACAATTACTTTACAATTTAGTTCAGATTCCAAGTTGTGTGAGTTCTGAGGCAACAATTACTTTACAATTTAGTTCAGATTCCAAGTTGTGTGAGTTCTGAGGCAACAATTACTTTACAATTTAGTTCAGATTCCAAGTTGTGTGAGTTCTGAGGCATTTAAATTCTGAGATACCTCTTTATTGAATTATTGGTTGGTGTGATAAGTGAGTGTGTGTCAGTCAATGCGTATCAGTTTGTTTACCCCGCGTGGGTTCCGGGGCCCTAATATGGGGAAAGCAAGAATAGACCCACTGCCTACCCAAAAGCATGTCATAAGAGTCAACAAACTGGGAGCTTCCTTTGAAGTCAGAACGCATCTGCCTGAGAGGCAAGGAACCAGCAGTCTGCATACAAATGAGTCAGATCTGTAAAAGGAATGCACACACAACACTCAGGTTCTAGAACATGACTGCAGTCCAGAAGTGGACGAACAACCAGAACTTTCCTCTAGAGCTTACAGCTGGGGAACACGAAGAAGAGAAGAAGAAGTTTGTTTACCATACTGTTTCAATGACCTCTAGGTATCCTTGGCAGTTTACAGTGATGACTGTGCTTTCCAACAAATTCAATCCCCACCATTGGCAGGTTATTGTTGTATTGCAACAGAGTTGACTGAACCACATAAAAGAAAAGTAAAAATTATCAGGCCCATATTATTTATGGAAAAATTACAAGCATTAGGTCTTTACAATGACCTAACTAAGTGAAAAATGAGGCCCCATTTTTAATGACCAAAGCATGAATTAGTTCAGTTGTAATACTAAAACGTAATATAGTATTTAGTTTTATAACAATACAAAAATAAGTACTAATTAGTCCCAAAACCGCAACAGCAGAAAGTATCTGGTATTAAGTGGTAACTGAGAATACTTGGTTAAGTATAAAGATGTTTAGAAATAATAACAAACAGTTAAACTAGAAATTCTACTGTACATAAAGGCAATGGCCAGATAAGCAATAACAACAAAATTTAATTTATTATTATAAAATGTTATATTGCAAGAAAATTACCTGACAATGCCTTGCCTTTATCTTTGATTTCTGATTGCTAAAATTTAGAGGGGAAAAAAAATGACTAAACACATGATTGATTGCATAATAATGGATGCATCTTAGAAAGTTCAAATGGCTTCATCATTTTTCCATAGAAACTAAAACCCCCCTTTTTTAAATAAAATTATGTGCAGAAAAGTTTTACTGCGGCTACTTTAACACTTGTCACTTTTAATAAGTTTTAAAATATTTTCAAATACATATAGGTTAAAATGACATAGCTATGTGGAAAGTGCAGAGATGTTTTTCTACAGAAGAAAGATGAGAAACAATGGACAGGTGAAAGGGGTAAAGAAGATGTCTTAAAGGAAATACAAGAAATTAGCTCACACAAAAACTGACTATCCAGATCAGAAGTAGACAATTTACACTCTTTGTGCATACCATGAAGGGAGGGGGGGGGGGGGAGGTGAAGGGGACTGGAGTCAGTTTCGACAAGGAAAGTTGAAGGGGAAGTGAGGGAGAAAGAGACTACAAGAGAAGATGTTGAACAGTCTAACATCATGGTATTGAAAAACAAATATTTGCATTATAAAAAACTAAACAGTAAATGAGACAAAAGGCTGTTAACAAACATGATGGCTGTAGTATGTGAAAGTCATTTGGGCGTTAAAGAGTTAATTAAGCCAAGGGTTAATTAAGCATGAGGGCATAATATTAACTCTTTGAGTCCCAAGGAATGCATCATACGTTCATAGGTTACTGTCTAGAAGCCCAATGAATGCATGCTGCGCTGATTTTACGTCTCTGTTGAATACCCCTTGGGCCTGTGATGCTAAGCCCTCTGGGACTCAAAGAGTTAAAACTGTCAGACAACAGGAAACATGACTGTGTTACCTCATGGACTGAGGACAACTGAATAAAACTACCACATGATTCTTTCCACCTGCAGTTAGTTCTGCATGGATCTTAGACTCTCACTAAAACCCAAGGTTCACAGAGCACCAATGAATTTCCAAGCCACACATGTTTCCATAACCCTAAGTGGCTCACTCATCCACTCTCACCCTGTCAACATAACATGAATAACAATATGCCCTCACACTACATTACCACATTAACTCTTTAACCCCTAAAGTAAGTGACTTTCGCATGCAACAATTACTAAGAATACATTTGATGAAAACTCACACTACATTACCACATTAACTCTTTAACCCATCTAAAGTAAGTGACTTTCTTTAGCATGCCAACAATGCAGAATTTTGGAAAGGCATCTGGTGCAAGCTTTTATGTGGCTGCATAGATGCTGGTATTCACAACCTCAGATATTCCATCTATTCATCACTTGCAGGTCAACCTCTAGGTTTGCTTCCATTGTTTCCAGGTGACAGAGCTCTTTGTGGTGCACTATCCTGATACATGTCCAAACCATTTCATCTGTTGTCTCTCAATGTAGTTTAGCACTGGTTCAATCCTAACCTATAATGCCATTTCTGATCCTGTCTCGTCTTGCTACATTTCGGATTCATTGTAAACATTTCATGTCTGTTGTTTCAATTTTTCATTTTCCATTTGTTATTAGGACCTGCACATTTATAAATGTGTCATTGGGTTACTAAGAGTCAATGTCTCAGCAGAACTGGATTACAAAACAACACAATCAGAAATAAAGCACATTTTCACTGTGACTAATATGAAACAAAACATTTTATTTACCCCAAGAGTGTGTATTTGTGTTGGAGGTTCATTATTAATATTTCCGTTTTCTATCTTGTCTGGTCTTTTCATTTTTGTGGTTTTTCTCTGAGGTGTGGACATCATTTTCTTCTTCACCCTCCTCTCTCTACCTCCAGATTTCTAAGAAAATATTCAAAGCAAAAACTGTGCTGCGAACTTATTGAATATCTTTATGTTAAGCCCAATAGATGAAATTGTAACACAAAACAACATATTTAAAATAATCAAAGGACACAAAATGCAAGTAAAGAAATATCCTTGTAATCACAATCAACATCTTTGAACATCGGGCACATCCCCATGCATGCTGCAGGCACTCCAAGGTAACTCTACTGACTGTTCCCTTGAGGAGTTGGTTATGGTATCTCCTGTCTTTACCTCCAAGACAACATAGATGTGCTTCACCAAGCTTAACTCCTCGGTCACTCAGTCATATTAGCATCTGAGATTCGTCATTATTTCCCAATCTAGTCTGCACAGCGTTGATAATATCAGCTCTGTCGATGCTTCTTCCCATTTGCACTAGTGCATTACTTGCCAGGTAGTCAGCTCTCTCATTACCTTAATAAATAATAACCTTGAACAAATGACTATTTCTGATCACACTGGAAAAGCCAAGAGCAGAGGATGCTTTGTTTTTTGGTTGATGTATGGATGTGAGTGCATGCATGTGCGAGTGCATGCATGTGCGAATGCATGCATGTGTGGGTGGATGCATGGATGGGTGTGTGTATGTGTAAATGGATGCATGAGTATGTAGGTGCCTGCATGTGAATGCATGTGTGTGAGAATGTTTTCACAGAACCCGTTTTGATATATTCTATAAAACCTAGACAAACAAAATGCTTCCTTCTGAGACATCAGAGATGTAAAATAATGCTGAAAACAAATACCTTATATAGCTGATAGGAGTAATCTATGTTTTGAAAAAAAAAAAAAGAAGGCTAAGACAGAAAAGATAACACAATAATCCAGTTATCTTTTTTTTGACTAGTCAGTTAGAAGAGAAAATTGAAACATGGTGTAACAGCTAGTAAAAAAAAAAGGACCCTTTTCCACACCTTTAGGTGTATAGGGCATATAGGGCTAGACCTATATTTTTATAGACCAATCGGCATAAGATGTGTGATGTGGTCAGCATCACGCCAGCCCCCTTTACTTCCTGGAACTGCACCCGGTACCCACTCAAGGCTGGGTCGACTTGGGAGTCAAGGTAGTTTTGTGAAAAAAGTCAGGCTTAGCCAGGAAGCGAACTCATGACCTTCCAATCCGCACGCGAGCGTCTAATCGCTACGCCACGGCGACTCCCGTAACAGCTAAAACATGTATGAAATTACAGACAGATGAAGACAGAATGAACAGATTTTTGACAACACTTTGTCATGGCACGGAAAGGTGTCACACACAATCGGATTTATGTTATTAGAGATTACATACTGTGAAGAAGGATGATTGCACACACCAGTCAGCAAGGCACCTGATGATGATGATAATGATGACGAACAATCAACTTCATTTTTTATTACAACAGAAAAATATTTAAAAATGAAAATAAAACAAAGAACAACCTCTTTAGCTCTGGAGTCTGTAACTGACATCCTCTGAGACTGCCGTGTTTCTGAATCAGGCCTTTGTTGTGGGGCCGTCAATGTTGCTTTCTTTATGTCTGTCATTAGGGTTTTAACATCCACTTTAACATCAGCCAAACCAAACTTTGTCCGTGGTGCAAACAGGTCAGTAGTGGTTTTCAACTTCAGTTTTTCTGTATCTTTAATGATACAATGCACATAGTGAGCAAGATGTAAGAACAAACAGCAATAAATAAAAACAATTAAAAGGAAACTACACAGAGCATTTTTTTCCTCCTTTTCTTTCAGTTCTTTATTTTTAACTCACCCCAAACAAAGGAAAATCTAATATTCTAGGGTGGTTACGACATGACTTCGTTCGATGTTTATACAATGTGCAAAAAAGTGTGTGCACTGGGTGGGCAAACTGTGGTGACAAATTATGAGCATGCAAAATATTTTTCCCAAACTCCACAACTTCCTTTCTGAGACCGACTGTGTAACTTTCTTTATGTGTGAATGAATGCTTTGTGCAATAGTCAGGGGAATGAGAACTGGTGATATTTTTTTTGGGGGGGGGGGGGGGGGGGGGTGGGTGGTGCTGAAAAGGGTCATCTTATGGGCCTTAAAAGGACTGACAGTGTCCAAGTATGTATACTGATGGGTTACCAGTTGACTGGTCCGAGCCCATAGCAGAAAAGAACTTTATATCCTTTTAAAGGGATAGATCCATTAAAGTGTGCCAGTGTCCCTCTGTCAACTGCTAAAGTCCAACATCTGTCAGATGAACCAGCCATAAGCTTGTCACTCTGGTCATGTATGTAGGCATATCATTTGCTACAGCAGCGACAAAATATAACACCAAACCTCACAATACCCATTACAAAGCAATAACTTTGTCTTGTCCAACATCAGCTAAACACAGCAGGAGATGTCCGTGGCCTAGAGTCATGAACCAAGTCAGTCCATCCTTGGAGATATTCTAGGAGGATAATGGGCTGAAACAATTGTCGAAGAGGGACCACCCCTGCTGTGTGTGCTCCCGCTGTGGAGTTTATCTTATCAGAAATCAGCTCAGAGTTCTGAAAGTTAGTTATTTGAATGTCTTTTACAGGACGTTGCAGATGCAGAATCAACCCCAGCAATTTTTGGCTATTGCGATTTTTCTAGGCAAATTTACACTCAGTAGTTGGTCAACCCCTTGAATGGTCAGCTCTCGACACCAGTCTCGAAACAAATGCAAGATGGTCTGCTGCCAGACTGCCTTCATCTGGGATCAAACCCAGTATCCTACATTACAATATACATTTACAACAGTAAAGCTGTGAGTTCTAATACAATATAAAATTAATGTTGATATTTAAAAAAAAAATAATAAGAGAACAAATTACAAGGAGCACCAAGAGGAGTAATAGCTTTTCAGACTCCTTCATAAGCAGAAAGAACATTAAAGTGTTTGGCAGGAGTGAAATAATGATGTTTATATTGAAATCGAAGGATAGTGAGCCAGGTTCAATTCCAAGCTGTGGCAGGATTCTGTTTTTAAGCTAGCATGACTCTGGGGTTAAACCACTATCATAAAAATTGTACTGGAGAGATTGCATAATTTTCTTGAAAGGACAGGCTCCTGTAAATGACTTTCCCACTCCTCTATTTTTACAAACTTAAACGCTTTATCTGCCATAAAACTAACTTAACCTTTTCAGGAATACCCTGTCACTGAAAAACTGGAAAATTATGTATAATTTTAATAATAATCTGACAGTATCTCATCCAATAGCACTGTTATCTTCCAGTATTATTAAAACATCATTTACCTTCCATTTTCGGAAAACTTGTGACTGTGCTATCAATATTTTCCTCCTCCACAGGTTGAAGAGGAATGTTAACCTCTGATGTTGTGGAGAGTTCCTGAAAACAGTTTAGAACCAAAAATAAAATGTAATCTATAGTTTGTTTGGTGAAGGAACAACACTTCTATGAAAACTGAACAGCACACATTTATTATGGCCAAATACAATGCTTTCTCTTGCCAGCTTAACTAGTTATTATATTTGAGTACCAATGGAGGCAAATTTTAATATGTTCTAGGTTTCTGCCTCAGACCCACATCTACGTCATAAGAGGTGATAAACAGGCTAACAATTAGTAAACACAGAAATGAGATGTCTGTGAAGGGCTGCTGGAGTGACCAGAAGAGATAAAATCAGGAATGAGGTCATAAAAGAACAAGTCTGCCCAGAAACAATTCTAAATAATATACAAAGACACTAAATCAAATGGTTTGCCCACTTGTAGAGAATGCTCAGTGATGCTGCACCATATAGGCAAAAATTATAAGAGGATAAGGATGTAAAATGTGGCAAAAAAAAAACCAAGAACAAGATGGAAAGATAACACTGGATAAACTTTACAACAGTGTGTCTATGGTCCTGGGGGACAAGGACAGCAAGAAGCAGAACCTTTTATCACCACCAACACTCAAAGCAGTAAAAGAGGATGTTAATGAAACAGGCGCTGGACAACTGTTATATAAATTGAATTAGGCTTATTTAAGCGAGCTAAAAACCTGGCCAACTTGGGGGTCAGGAAGTGATAAAACAGATGGGAGTGTTGAGTTCGCTCTCTTAGGCCCCCTGGTGATCGGACGAGTAACATGTAGTTCTGATTTGTCCGTTGCGTTCAATGGTTTAGCGCAATGTGGGTTGAGGTGTGTAGGCAGAAAGATAGGTTCCATCTGTTGTAGGGTATTTTCTAACACATTGTGAATTGTAATGCATTATTATTTGTGAAGACCTTAGATGATGTTCAGTGAAATAAATAATAGATGTGAATGTGATAACTTTAGTTCCAGTTGCTTTGCTTCAGATTAGGGCTTGTGGTTAGTGTGTGTAGTTTATTTATTTGTTGCCTGGCTTATTAGACTTTACACAGAAGATCTCGTGTCTGGACTAGAATATTCTTGTTTCTAGTCCCCACCTAACGAACTATTTTCCTTTTTTTTTTATCTTAGTACTTGCGGCTTCTCCGCCCTAGTACATTAACAATAATAATAAGAAGATATTGGCTTCTAGGTTAATACAACCTAAAAAGAGGTTGTAGAAAATATTCAGGGAAGTAAAGGTGGTTGTCACAATATCAACGAATAGCCAGTTGAATGCTGAATGGTCTCCAAAAATATAGAGCTTGCAACCTGATGTCTTATGGTGTATAAAAAGAGGCTTAGTCACAAAGAACCTCCAGTAGGATTTACTAGCAGCAGAAGTTGGTGCCTCAGGGTTAGTGTCTATCTCTAGGTATGCCTGGTGAAACAATCTGGAATGAAGAACAATCCTGATATATTCTCAAAGCTATTTGGCCTATTGTCTGCCATTCCCCCCCCCCCCCCCCCCCCCCCCCCCCCAATCCCCTCACAACCCCCCCCCCCCCTTCCACCACAACTTTTAAGGAAATTAATTATACAGTATCCCCTAGAAATCTATCTTCTGTAATCAAACAGAAAGTTGCAGTGATAAATATGGAAAATTAATTAATAACTGCAAGTTTAACTCTACCACCCTAAGAATCCTCAAAACCGACATTTTTATTTAGGTCCAGTTCCTCGAAAGAGAGCCACATTTTTGACTTGGCTATAGTGGCCTGTTCATAAGATGTCTAAAAAAAAAACACTTGCCCCTGTAAACATGTTTAGGAGGACCTGGTATGACTATAGTACTTAAAAAAAGCATTTAGAGGGAGTCTCAGTGGAAAAAAAAAAGTTTAATTTAAAACAAAATTTGTACTAACCAGAGACCAAAAGGTTAATTATGAATAAAACATTCCTGCTTGGACCAATATTTTGCTCATGATAACAAAGTTTGTTCATTTTAAGCGACTTTGTATTTACAAAGTTTTAATGTATATTCCTCTTATAGTCCAAGCCAGCTGGTGTTTGTAATCATATCTGTTTACAGGCTTCTATCTCACGTACTACCTATCATTGTCGATACAGATATTCTTACATGCAAAGTTCCCTGAGTGAATTCTGGGTCTCCATTGTCGGGAAAAAACAAGAACAAACCAACTGCCTCCCCTACAAGCATGTTCTATGGGTCGACTAATTGGGGGCTTTTTTTTAAAGTCAAAGTGCATCTGCCTGACAGGCAAGGAATTAACAACCTGCATGCAAATTAGCTAGATCTGTTAACTGGAAGTACAAGCAACACTCAGGTTTTGGAGCAAGACTAAGACGCAGAGGTCGATGAACAACCAGAACTTTCTGCAAAAGTTTCCAGCTGGTAAATGGAAAAAGAAGAAGAAGGTATGCCCTACTGGGAAACATCCTCTGTCTTTGCCTTCTCTTGCCTCTCTCCCTCTCCAGCTTTCCCAGTTTAAAAGATATTCTTGTTCTTCCTTTCTCATGATAATGTCAAGGATTCTCAAGCTGTCATACCCTGGCCACAACCTATACATTTATGCACACACATCAGTCTTACCCATGACATACATTGCATACTGTCAGAAAAGACAGTGAAGAAAGTACTTACTCTAAGTTCCTCTTCAGCTTCAGATGAAATCTCAGGTGTGGTTGATCTAGAAGACTCAGGTGTAGGTCCAGGTGATTTCCCAAAATGTGGAAAGGAGAATTTAATATCCATTCTCTTCTTAATGTCTGATTTAGAATAGCTCTTCTCCACTTTTTTCTTGGCTTTCAGTTTTTCACTTCTATCATCTGGCTGGGGTCTGGATTTTCTTGACTGCTTCTGTTGCAGAGATTCTTTTGAATAAAAGAAACAAAAACAAAAACAATGTTGTCAATGTTCCTAAAGTGTTTAATAAACACGTAAGATGAAAAGGATTGAAATGTTTCTTCCATTCGTTCCTTGTTTGTATTCAGTAAAAGTAAAATACCATCTTTTGCTACTGGCACATTGGGCATACAATGCTAGACTCACACTTCTATAGACTAATCAACACTGAATGGGTGATGTGGTCATCATCGTACCGACCACCTTTACTTCCCAGGACATCATCTAGGACCAATTTTAGATTGGTTTGAAATTTTGAGTTAAATATATACAACATATACAACCATAAAAAAATCTGGCAATTTCAACTGTTAGCCAGCCCAGTGGTTCTAAGTTTAACTCTTTCAGTCCCAAAGTGTACCAAACACGGACAATTAATAGGGCTCTAGAACAGAAAATAACTACATGTGAAATGTGCTGTCTCCGCATGGTCACTAACAACACCATACGAGACAGTTATGAATACCAGCATTAGAGATAAAGTTGGAATAAATAAGACCATGTCTGGATTATATCGACAGGCAAAGAATGAAATGGTTTGGCCATCTAGTGAGAATGCAGCCAGACCAGACTGCATATGAGACTTTTTACAGTAGAACATCTGAGAGGAAGGCGAGAGGAAGACCAAGAAATAGATGGAAAAATGGTGTAGATGAAACCTGTAAAAAGTTGAACAAATCCAAGCCACTCAAGCCACCCGTGAAGCGCAAGACAAATACAGAAAACCACCACACTGGGTTACAACCTGGTAACGGTAGACGACAAAAGAAGAAGAAGAAGTCCCAAAGAACACACCATATGTACTGGATATTACTCATGTGCATTAGTCAACATATTTTATATATTTGTACACTTTAAGTTTACTTAGGAGAACTAAATCTACACAACAACAAAGTAATTTTTGAAAAAAGTCCGGCTCAGCCAGGGAGCGAACCCATGACATTCTGATCTGTGGCAAGCATCTAGCCGCTCTGCTACGATGACTTCACTTCGGTTCAATAGTGTAGTTTTATTAAGATCCCTGGTAATCAACACTAAGGCTTTGGAGTTGATGTTTTGTGTGGCACGCTCAGCACGTAGTGCCATTCTGCAGAGAGAGACCGAGCTAAAGGGGATAACCCAATGCCATGAAGTGGATCCTCTTGACATTAAGTCTAATTCTGCAAGACCTTTGAAGAACATTGATTTATTAATTGCCTGTTATAGTTTGCCTACTTCATGCACTGTCATGTAGGTAATGGAATACAACAGTTTACTTTACTTTATCTTCGACACCCAGTGTCTTAACTATTAGAAAATCTCCAAGAAGACTATGGTAAATTTTAACATTTTAGCTGCATACAGAAAGCTAGGCACTAAAATGTAATATACAGTAAGTTATCTGGTAGAAATTCATTTTTTTTAGCAAAAGCATGTACATAAATAAACAATATGTTTAGAGTTAAACTGCCACCTTCCATAATTTGGCTGGTAGAAAAAATCATTTCTGAGCATGGGACGTATGTAAATTAACATAGGGTGCAACCTTTGCCTGCTAAATAATCCAAAGTTTTCTTCATCTGTTTCAAAAGGTCATATTTGTTGACCTCTGAACTTAAAATAAGGTCAACATATGACAAACGTCTCTGGGGTGTAGACCCGGCTGACTTGTAGACGTCAGTTGGTGCCCTTGAGATTTGGGACATGACATCGTCATCTGATACCTGTTAGTAATCAAATTAAGAATAGTTATAGTTCAAACAGCTATGAATGTATTCAAAGTGGCAAACTAAAAAAGAAAAAAAAAAGAAAAAAAAAAAAAGAAAGAAATGATGGGAACAGAATTGAAGCAAACTATTATTTTGTGGACATGTCATAAGCTGAGGTACCGGGTTTGATCCCAGGTGCAGGCGATTTGGCATCAGACCATCTTGCGTTGGTTGCGACAGTGATATCGAGATCAACTGTTCAGAAGCAATGGCAAACTAACTGAACATAAATGTGCCTAGAACAACCATAGCAGCCAAAAAATGCTAATGTTGGTTTTGCACCATCCTGTAAAGGATATGCAGCTAACTCTATTTAACAAAAGGAGAAATAAATGTGACAAATGGCAAACTTGATTGTGAGAGAGCATGGGTAAGTAAAGAACTAGTAAACAACCACTTTCATGTCTTTGGTGCATCATGCATTAGGAGCTGTACTCTGTTTTATAGACCAATCAACGATTAAACCCTAATGTGAAACTCTGAGAGAGAACAAAACAAATTCTAGTGAATCAAGAGTTGAAGAAAACAGGCTGGTGCTGAATATAACACACATTGAGAAAACCTGAGAACAATATAACTAGAATGCCTTTACACCGGAACCCAATGCATTATAAAAATAATTTCAGACCATAAAATGCACAGAGAAGGAAGCCAGAGAGTGAGATTAAAAAGAGAGAGGTGAGCTGCATGTGACTGCAAAAGATAGGACCATTTGGTGTCAGCTGGCTGAAGGCCTGTGATCCACAATAGAATAAAAGGGCAGAAAAAGAAGAAGAATCAACAGGTTAAAAAGTTTGTGGTCAATGACATGTGATCACAGATGGGAAGAGCATCCTATTTTCTTTGGAATTAACAATTAATTTATGGTGCTTTTTTAGTACTGAAAGACTTATATAGATCAATAATTAAACAGAGAGAGAAAACTGAAGTATCTGGAAATTACATTTGACAGGAGCCTGTCCTTTAAGGACCATGTGGAGAGTGTTGTGACAAAATGCCAAAAAGGAATTAGTGCACTTAAGACTATGGCTGCAATTGACATAGACAGAGAATGCTTTTCACACTATATCAGCATCTGATCCTGTCAGTGGTTAATTATGGTCTGGGATCGCTTACCGTCTCAAAGAGTCAGAGGGACAAACTAGAGCGCATACATAACGCAGCTATGCAGGTAATTCTTGTTTGAACCAGAGACACCCTAGTGGTGTGTATGCAATACATCCTTGGTTTGCTGACTGTTTCAGGTAGGCACAAGGTGCTGCAGGTGAAGTCATATCTCAGGGTAGCTGCAGACACAGACCACCCTTTACATGAAGCTCTGGGTACAGTTAAGAGTCAGTGGCTGATAAAAGGGAAGTCATGGATAGCGCAGGCAGAAGACACAATCAGACAGGTTTGTATCCTTGAGAACATTAGGCGAGGAGAGGAGTGGGTCAAAGTGTCACCTGAACAGTCAGACTTGTGTAGGGTCATAATCACACTTAGCGGGGAATGCAGAGACTGGCCAGCAGGTACCACAGAGGTGGAAATTCAGCAAATAATTCAAGATAATGCTTGCTTAGAGGATTTTATCATTTACACAGACGGTTCAGTGTCAAGAGGCAAAAGAAGTGCTTGGGGCTTCTTAGAAAAAGTTAATGGTCGACGTTTGGTGCAGGAGAGCCTAGCATATTATATCACAACATCCAGTTTCAGAATGGAGGTGGAGGCAGTCACTGCAGCTTTCCGCTGGCTGGAGAACACGACACACACACATCGTGATTGTACCTGACTCAGAAAGTAGGCTGAGGAAGATCAGGACAGGTATGCTTCATGCAGAGTGGCATGCTTCGCTGCGGAGGACACGGGTGAGGAGTATTGTCTGGATTTTTTCACCGTGCTACGCCAGTGTGTATGCAATACATCCTTGGTTTGCTGACTGTTTCAGGTAGGCACAAGGTGCTGCAGGTGAAGTCATTTCTCAGGGTAGCTGCAGACACAGACCACCCTTTACATGAAGCTCTGGGTACAGTTAAGAGTCAGGGGCTGATAAAAGGGAAGCCATGGACGCCAGTGTGTTGGGAAATTAACAGGCAGACAGACTGGCTGGCTCTGCACAACTTGGTGGAATACTGATGTATGATAAGGCAGACATGGTTATTGCCTTGTGGGAGAGTGTGTACAGTTCAGAGGAGCATATGGATCACAAGGTTCTGGCAGATGCTTGAGGTTCAGAGGAAAGGCAAGACGGACATGTAATCAGAATGCTACTGGCACCATTAGTATCAGAATACTTCACTGGCTGCTGAATATGGGGACGGAGCGTGTATGGGAATGCCCCAAGTGCTGTGATATCGATACTTGAATCAAATCAAATCAATTAAACAATTATAAGTGTTATTGGTCCCTACCAGTGAATACATCATTGACGTAAATGTGCAAATTGGCTTTTATTCTGCACTATACATTTATATTTTTTCAAGGTATTGAGAACTGTTAGTAATTACAAATGAAGTTACAGATTTAAAATTCACTCGTTTGTTTTTCCTGTAGTGGCAGAATTTGTGGATTCCTTGACATACTAGGGTTTGTTTTAATGACAAGATTGTACTTGTGGCTTTCTCGACAAAGTCTACTCTGAGAAAAGTTTGATGAAGATCCATATTCATGAACAGACAAACATACCCATGCTTCCTCTTTCTCATTTTCAGGTTCCAGGGCCACTCTTCCTTCTAGGAAATCCTTGGAGAACTCTATATCAAATGGTACCTTGAAATTGAAGAGAACATTTATACTTCAATAATTCTGGAACAAAAAAAACAAAAAAAAAAAAAGATAGGACTTAATTTAGATAAATTTAGATAAACCAGTCTAAAGACTGCTCTCTTCAAATCACTGGGACTGCAAAAGACATTTCTTAGCATTTGCTAGTCAACCATAGTTTATGATTTGCAGCATATGAACTGCAGCATATGTGTGACTCACAGCTCTTATCTTGATCTCCTATTTTGCAACCAAAATACAAACCGTATGTATTTTTTATCACTTTAGTTATATTTTGTTTTCGTGAGAGAAATGTCACCTCACCACACCGCATACATTACAGAACTGCAGCGCTGCTCATACAGGCCCTAGGTATTTCTATCTACGACAGTATTAATGAAGAAAGAAACACTGACTAAAAATGGCAAAATTTTTCCAGAGATAAAATATTTATTCACAAAGGTGATGTACTCATAGGCACGACTGCATTATCAACTTTAAGTTACAGTTTTATTGTTCATTAGAGAAGAAATTAGGCAACCAGCCACAACAGTTGTGTTATATATGTAATTTAACCCTTATTAAGTAAATAGTAGAGTATATCTTGAAAACTAGAACCAATCAACAATTGTTAATGTCATTTTAGTTTTCAGCACACTAAAGTTAGTTAAGATCAGCTATTTTCATTTCCGGTATATTTTAATTGTTGATCAGTGTAATCTTGCTCTGCAGTACTTTTAGTAACAGACCATTAAATTAAATACTGTGATAAAGTTAAAACCTTTTGTGTATGATGCTGACTGATTAGAGGTCTATATTTTACCAAAGTATTGAATAATTTTTTTCATTTGATGTCATTTCTGCCCAGTTAATTCTGTCTAAATCAAGGTCATTTCTGTCAAGTTTATCCTATGTCTAAATCAGGGCTTAGTTAGTCTTTCCTCTTGTGTCGAGTGCGGCACATAGGGCAGAGGTCATGACTCTCCATGCATGGCAGTTCGTTGCAATCCGTTGTAGGTCTTGGATGTTTGAGTGGTCCATGAGCGAGCCTTCCTTGATGATAGTTCTACGTAGGGTTTCCCTTGGTCTTCTACGAGATCTTTTCCCCTGTGGTGTCCAAATGAGGGCTTGGTAAGGAAGTCTTGATTTATCCATTCTAAGGGCGTGGCCGACATAGTTCCAGCGGCGTTTTCGTATAAAATTAGACACATACTCTTGCCTGGATTCTTGCCTTACTTGTGTATTTGTTCGGAAATCTGACTATTTGAAATTAAAGGGCTACTCAACTAAATTTAATCAGGGCCCAGAATGTTGAAAATAGGGATCGTCATGGGTCAGAGGCATGAGCCCCAGTGTAGAAAGATGAGCACTGATACAATACAGTTGGCAATGATCTGTAGGCCATTTGCTAGGTCTCCATTTGCCGCCAATTAAATAACCCTGGCCTACAAGCTTGCCTGCTAGCCTGAACATTTTATGTTTGAGGCCACACCAAAGCAAACCTTTATGACTGACATTGGTTCCCAGATTGAACCAGCCTAAACTGAGAATCAGGAAATGTCCTCTAAAGTAAATGGGACTGTTGAAGTGTTGACCACATCACTCAGTGCCAATAATTTTTTTAACTCTTTGAGTCCCAAGGAACGCATTATACGTTCATAGGTTACTGCCTAGAATCCCAATGAACGCATGATGCGCCGATTTTAGTCTCTTTTGACTACCCCTTGAGCCTGTGATGCTAAACCCTCTGGGACTCAAAGAGTTAAAAATATAGAACATATGAGCAATGCATTAACAGTGGAAAGATCCATTATTCAACTTTTACCCCAATAGTTCATAGACTACTTAAAGTCTAAATACATTGTACTAAACAATTTTATATCATAACATAGCCATTAATTTAGGGCCACTCCACACACACACACACGCACACGTAGGCACACACACACACGCGCACACACACACTAAAAGATAATGACAGGACAAAAATTACCAAATAGTTTTCCAGAGTTACATGGTCATGATTTGGTGCCACGCCCTCATTTAAAACAGCTGGGTCCTCACAAATGTATGATTCTGGTGAAATAAAATACTGAATAAATAAAACAGTCAGAAATAAAAGAATGTTGATGGCTTCCAAATTTGTTATCTCAGGACAAAACTCATGCACAAAATGTGTGCTCTCGGCAAATTAAATACTTTAAAACAGAAAAGAAAAAAAAAAAAAACTTCAGAAACAGAGATTTTATTCAAAATAAGAACATCCATAATAAAGAAGACAACTGTGAAATCGTTTTAGACTGAGTGGTGTATCTAAAAAAAAAAAATTGTTTAACATATTTTTTTTTTTTAAATTACATTTTCTGGAGAAAAAAAACAAGAAAAACTGTGTTGATTGCATTTGATTCTTTTCTTATCTTAAATATTGTTAATCTTTTAAAACCGTCAGTCCTAAATACTATTTGGAATCTATTAATCAATATAATTGACATTGACAACTTTTAAAACAGAATTTATATTAAAAAACAATAATAAAATAAGTTTATCAGAATATCTCTTTCTTTTTCTTTTTTCATATTTATCCTTACAAACGGAGACGGCACATTAGGTTATGGTTTACAGCCAGGCTGTGACATTTATGCCTTTTGGTGAAACACATCTGATTTCAGCAAACTCCTAATTAATCACCTTTTATGATATCCTTGGTGAGGTGGATGGAGAGGGTCAATGAGTCTAATTCTTATTTTCTCCCTAAAATGGGGCTACTGGAACCCACACATGGATATTGGAATATTTATTATGCAGAATACAACTATAAAATGTGTTTCAGCTATTCTTGTTAAAAATTACAGGGTGTTAGGTGAGAGGTTTTACCATTTTTTTGGAGTTTTACCCATATGGTATGATCTATTCAACAAAACACCTGGTTATCTTCAAGAGCACAGCACAAAGCATGAATTCTAAAGCCCCAGCAACAATCACCATGAATTTGTAAAACATCTGCATCCAGGAACTAAAGTTGGAGTTCAGAATTGAACCAACAACCTTCAGAGCAGGAGGCAAAAAGAATAATCATTTTGCATTGGAGACCCTCTTTTTTTGTTTCAGATAATAATATATAAAGAACTTTATATTTAACCTTCAAGGAACATATAACATACTAACATACTAAATGGTTACTACCCAGCCACTCAACCAGCGCACAGGTTTTTAATTTACCAATGACCAGTGTAAAAATGCAAACTGCACAAGTGAAACTTCCTCTTCTGTTCTTTGTGTTTGATAATACACATGTTGGCTATTGAGTTTATTTTGAATGTGATTAAAAACCTAACAATATAGCATGTTTACGACGTTGACCGAGTTACCAAGTATTTGTCTGAAAATAATATGGCCGCCGAGCAGTATTCTTCATTGCATGCCAATATGCACTCAGGAAGCCTCATATTTAAATAAAACGTGTTTATCAGATTTATCTGAAGTTAGGTGGATAAGTTTGCAAAGTAGAATTGTTTTAGTCATTTATAGAGTAACATTTTGATGAGGGCTAAGCCAGATATATACCTCGGGCAGAGCGTACAATATCAGAGTCATGTGGTACTAAAAGAACAAACATTAGTGAAAAGGGCAATTTTCTTCAGTGTCGGTTAGTGCTAGTGCTATTGTCTCTTATTCGTTAGAAAAAATCCACAAAATTACGGACAAACTGAGTGTTACATAAACTTCATTTTGTGTGGAGATACTAATTGGTAATCTGGTAATCTTAGTTTCAGCTTCATAGCAAACGGGTCACCCCATGGTTGCTCTGCCCCTGTTCTAACAAAAAATACACAGAATCTCTATCACAGTCCCTTGTGGAAAGATTGACAGATTGCTTTCTCAGCATATCTAGCATACACATGCGTTAAAAGCATACGGTAGTCATCCGAAGTGCTAACACAAACAGTCCAACATTAGAAATGCAGTTTATCATTGATGGTAGCAGAAGTCACCAACAGATCAGCAGCTGCACACCCGATCAATTTTAGTCACATAAGGGCACCACCAATATTGCGACAACAGACATCGCGCCATTTTCTGAATCTACAATTCACACCACCACGTTGGTCACAGTCGAAAACATTCCAAATGAAATCCACAGCTCACAGGGTCGTGCCATGCATTCAACTCAGAAGCTGGGCGAGGAAACTATATCCTTTCAGTCTACAAATGGAAAAAAAATGCAACGGCCACCGTCTGGCAGAAGCAACAAATTTGCCTCAGCTCCAAACAGTGGCCATGTCTAGCGTCCATTATGACCGTGGTTTCCAGAGATACTAACTGTTTTGGGAAGTCATTTCTCTTTGCTATATAACAGAAACTCATCATGGAAGCCAAAAATGATATAATGGAATGAGATCTAATGTACGCGTTGTGTTTATATTTTACTAATACATTACTAAGGTGTTCACTTTCATTTGTCATTCATTCTGGATATATTTTATCAAGTTTTCCTTGCACACTATGGTGGCAAGTTGACAAATTATTTTTTTATTTTAATAATTTCTCCAAATATTTTGTCTGTTTATTTATTTACTAATATTTAACTACTAACACAACTTAGTTATTGTTGCAGCATTAGAATATTACTCCTCAATAACCCCTGGTCATTTTGTTATACAATATGTACATACTGCATCACAGCTGAATTAATGTAGTATGTTTTATTGTATTACACTTGTGAAATTTTAAAATTCCATTAACGCCCACTGGGCATCTGATGCTGAATGCTCAGAGACTCAAAGAGTTGAGAAAATTAACTATGATACTTATAAAGAGTCAAAAACATGATGAGACATGTTTCTGATCTGAGACAATTCTACGAACAATAATTATCGAAACTTATACATGTTTAAAATGTTCACCTTTATCAAATGAGTCTACATCAGATTCAGGTATCTCCAACTGTGGGCACACTAAGAAGTAAACCATGGTTAGAATTACTGGAAATATTTAAAGATAAAGTCATATGTGCAGGCAATAGCAGATACAAGCAACAGAAGATACAAGCAACAGAAGATACAAGCAACAGAAGATACAAGCAACAGAAGATACAAGCAACAGAAGATACAAGCAACAGAAGATACAAGCAACAGAAGATACAAGCAACAGAAGATACAAGCAACAGAAGATACAAGCAACAGAAGATACAAGCAACAGAAGATACAAGCAACAGAAGATACAAGCAACAGAAGATACAAGCAACAGAAGATACAAGCAACAGAAGATACAAACAACAGCTCATTTAAATAACATGTGATACGGGCAACAATGGATACCAGTAAAAGCTGATAAAAGAAACAGCACATTCCGACAACAACAGATAGCAGCAATGGCAGACAAAAACAAATGAAAGTGCCAGAAACAATACAAATTTCATATATTCATGTTAAGTAACAACTGAGTATAAACAGGAGAAGTGATAGCATAGTGGTTACATAAAAGGCAACAAGCAAGATGTTTACCACATCACACACTGAGTAACGACATATTAAAATATGAGTCTAGCCTGGTGTGCTCAATGTGCCACTGGCGTAAAAGAGAGTCCGACACATTTTTCCCCCCATAGAAGTTTGTTTGTTTATACATAAATATTATGTGTAAAAAAAAAAAAAAACATTTTCATGATACTGATTTTCTGTCATATTTTGTATAAGAAAAGGTGAGTGAAGGACCCCTTTCATGTCTGTTGTACATCCTGCATACAGTGCTGGTCCTATATTTTACAGGTAAAACTAATGCTGGTCTTCCCAGATCCCACCCATATACACACTAGCTCACTACTGATTGGTAGACATTGAGCTACACATACTTGGCACAAGGTTACAGGGGCTAGGGGGGGGGGGTGTGGTGGTGGTGGGGGGGGGGGGGGTTTGGGGTTGCAATGCCATATTTCAGCACGCCAGCACTTCAAACACTCCAAAAACATGGACAAACTGGGTCTAACACAACCCCCCTGGAGAGTGCTGCAACCTATGTCACAGGCATTCTCTTTCTCGGAATAAAAACGTAAATGTAAAACAACTCATAAAGCAAATAACAGAGCGGCACACCTATAACCTGCAACCTGCAGGAAAGTAGACCAGCCCAACGAATTTATGAATTAAATTATAACTACTTTGTTTGGGGAGACTAACTTAAACCTAACCATTTTACAGATCAATGGGCACTCAATGGGTGATGTAGTCAACATCATGAAGGCTGTCTTTACTTTTCAGGACATTGCCTGGCACTCATTTTAAGCTGGGTTGATCTGACATCCTAGGTACACCCCCCCCCCCCCCCCCTACTCCCTCTGAACCGCCTAGATGTGGATTAAGAAGAGAAGACATACTGACATTTTTAAAGATCTGAACATAAAGGAAGATTTTTCTAATAAATAATATCTTGACTCGAAAGCTGAAATACTTTGCTCATATCAACCGTCATGGCAGATTTGAATAAAAAAATAGCAGAAGCAATGGTACCAGGAAGGAGAGGCAGGGGCCAACCAACATAAAGATATATAAGAGTAAATCAGGTGGGAGAGCTCATGAGGGACCCAGTTTATTTCATGCAGCCAAGTTCTGCAAAGGACCTGCTACAGGATGAGATGTGGATTTGAACCCTAGACTTTCAGACTAGCAGGCAAGTTTCTAGTCACTGCACTACCATGGCTCCCTCACCTTTTGTGTGATCAATGTAAAATATATGCTTCTGATAGCCAACCAACAGGTCCCCTCTGTTGTTTAAGAAACACACTGATGATAAACTAGAATCCAGCATTATCTCTGTCAGCAGAACCTTCTCGTGCCAGATTTTAATGCATCCATCTTCACTGGAAGAGATAAAAATGTTAAAGGTAATCCTGTGGCAGACGATCATAATGTATGAAGTCTTTAAGGCTTTAAATAGACATGACAATTCATATAAATAAAGTAATATTTGTATAGACTAATTAGGATTTGACAGATAATATGGTAAATATCATACAAGCTGCTTTTAAATGTGTATACTCGAACCTTCCCTGGTCCTCAATTTTAGGCTCTGCCATTGTTGGTCACAAGCCCATATGAGAAAGGAAGATGGCTGGGCATGAGACCAGCTCCCCCACCTCATAAAACAGATATACACTTTTAAAGAAAAAGGAACATAATTTTGAAATTCAAAATGTTCATAATTTAATGAGTGAAACTTTTCAAATTGCACACAGGAATACCTTGGGGGTTCAAACAATCCATTGACAATTCTTTTGCATCTGGGTGATCAATAGTTTTCAAGCATGCAAGCTTTCCCGACAACTAATAAAAATGTGCCATTACATAGCCAGGTGCTTCTTTGTTCTGTGCGTGAATAGTGTAGAATATTGCCATTAAGGATGTCATTGAAAGAAAAAAGTCTAAGGATGTCTGCTGCTCAGAAAACAATGCATCTGATAGAACAAAACGGAGTAATTGACTGCTAAACTGATGTGATGTTTTAATGGCGCAATTGAATTATATTTTTAGGCTTTGTCAACCTTGAAATCTGAATCAATTCTATGTGTAGTTTTACACTGTAGGGTTCTGCAGAGTTCAGTGAATGAGTTGAGTTGAGTAAAGAATTGACATCACAGCACTCAGGGTATTTCCATGCATGCTCCATCCTCGTCTTCAGCAGCTAGCGCGGAGTTCCAATACTGATGGTACCGGTCACAATCTGGTTGAATGTCCATCTTGCCTTTCCTCTGAGTGTAGTGAGCCAGCCAGACCCTCTAGTTACACCCAGGTGCCTCATTCTCCCAGGCAATAATAATCTTCTTTCTCTACTGATTTTGTTGCTTGTTCGCAAAGGGAATGAGTTTAACAATTTAATTATCCTTAAGTACCATGATTCAATTTCTGCAGAAAACAAGTTATTTTTGGACAGTGGCACATAGACTGAAGGCCTCAGCATGCAACATTGCCAAAAGCAGCACTGCATACACTGTAGCCCACCTTCAGTGTGGAGATGGCACAGTTTTTTGTTGTTGTAAATCCCAGAAACTGGCCAGATACATTTTGGACATGCCTCTTCCGTTTTTTTTTTTTTTTTTAAATTTTACATCAAACAGTAAAACCATTTGCTTTAACTCTTTCAGTACCAAAGGATGGTTACATCAATTATAATTCAACACATGCTGTGTATTTGGTACTAAAAGAGTTTTTAAAATTTCACTTGTATCAACAAATTCAAGAAGAGAACAGTATCATAACAAGGGTAACTTCATGGTGAAGTAATTAAGCCATTTGCCTCATGCTCTGAAGTTTGTGAGTTGAATTTTAGACTCCACAATTCAGTCCATGTGTACAGGTGTTTTTGAGATCTCTGGGCAGTTGCCATGGGAACTATGATGTTTGTGCCTTGTATGATGCTCTCACTAGTAACCAGGTAAACATGTGGGATAACTCGCAGTGCAATGAAGCTAATCCTCTAGTCATTGGACAGTATCCTGTTTGCTAGGCTAGGTACTCCTTAAATAGTGACAGCACTGGAATAAAACAGAACATGCTGAAAGAGTAGGAGTATATAAGGAATGTGCAGATGTATGCTGCAGGGCCAGCTATAGAGACAGAGAAGAAGATACTGGAATGAATTTAACAACTGACAAAGTAGTATTTTTAATTGTACTTTAAATAATTGTCATAATCAAACTGTGTTTTACATCTATGAGAATACTTAATGAGATTTAGACTGTTATTTTTTTTTTTTGCACTATGATTTTAATACATTACACACCCATTTTCATCTTGTTAAGTGCTGTTTAATCTATTTCAAGGATCTATGCAGATATAACAAAGATAATTAAAAAGATATGATAACTGCTGTATGTTCCAGACAAGATACAGAAAGAAAAGGAAGATTTAAATTCAAAATATTGTTTTCCTGCGGTGAATTTAAATAATGTGCACATAAACAGTACATTGCACAATATACTGCACAATTCATTGCCAGGGACATTTTGCCGCATCTCGTCAGGTGCATTACTACAGTCACATCAATATATCATGATGCATAATGAAAGAATATCATTATATAGTGATGTAAATCTGTAGTAATGCAACTGACAAGATGCAGCAAAATATGCCTGACAGTAAACTGTGCAATGTATTGTCTGTGTCTGCATCATTCAAAGATTAAAATTGTAAAAACCTATTAAAAACTCACCTGCAGGAACAAAATATCTTCAGAGCTGTGCAGACATCAACAGTCATGACTGAAGCCAAGTGTTCTGGTTTATGATTCATATTAATCAGCTCTTCATACATGGGCACATCTGGCAAATAGTTTCACAAGTATGAAACAATATGAAGTACTTGTTAATAATACAGCAGTGTTCAGTGTATATTATCATCACCACCATCATCATCCTGTAATGTCATTATACATCCCACAGAGTTTCCAGTTAATTTTCAGATATATATTTAGCACACACACAAATATCCTTTGCATGTTACAATAAACATGCATTTGTTTCATGTGATCTGTTATATGGACTTTAGAACTTGGTGATGACTGGCAAAACTCATGGAAGAAGAGCAAGAGCAATGCTCATGATGATAATAATGATGACCTCAGTAACAAAATTCTGTAACATACATGTTTATCAACCAAACTACATTTCATGTACATACTTCAATATCCTAACTGAGTAATGATGTAAAATACAAGACTCCCTTAGCCTCTCTTGCTCAAGCCTTCCTTACTTTCATGAGATGGACAATCTTTTACCCAGTAATTCAGTGGAAAATTGGGATCTCAACCCTCAGAAAGAAACTGGATGGGGCTACAAACTATGTAAAGTAATAGGGATAAACACTCTCTCCTTGTGAAGAAATTCATTTGGGTAATACCAGGCCAGAAGATAGATCAAAACAACAGTGCTGTGCAGCTTTCGCTATTATAGATGAATAGACTGTCATGCAAATTTAATGTTGGTGCTCATAAGGTGCAGGTTCTAAACTTCATCAAAATTCACCCTCCTAGTCCACATTTTGTAGTCATGAGTCAATGGAGAATTGTGACGGCCAAAACCAGTTGGAAAGAGATAATCCTAAACTGCCCTTTGTACTAATACACAGGAATGAAGAGGGTCAACAGCAAGCAGGCTGGCTATAGCAGAAGAATAGAGATGTACACAATGCAACAATTTTATTTTGTATGTACACATCAACATTTGAAAAAAAAAATGTAGAAGAATTTCTGAAGCTTGAGACATAATGGGTGCTGGCCCTAATTTTTTATAGACAAATCAGCACTCAGTGTGAAATCAGATAATCAGGTAATCACAGTTTCAACTGCAAGGCAAATGAGACATCCCATTGTTGCTCTGTTCCTATGCCAAAGAAAACCGCAGAGAATGTTCCTCACTGTCCCTTGTGAAATAACTGACACAGATTGCAGTCTCAGCAAAGCCAACACAATACACACACATTAAATGTATAAGGCAACCATTAGAGTAGCCAACAAAAACAGTCCAGCACTAGGTATACAGATCATCATTGAAGAAAGATGCTATTACAACAAATCAGCAGTTGCAAAGCACAGTTATTTGCTTGAAGCACTTAACTGTTCTGTGGCAACAGGCCACTCACCATTTTCAGAGTCTGCTGTTCACAACACAAATCACACAGTCAAAAAGCTTTCAAATGAAATCCACAGTCTAAGTGAGTTATGTGATTATATCACGCTGGCCGCATTTACTTCTCAGAACATTTCTTAGTATCTTTTTTAGGTTAGGTCAACCTGAGAGCCCAGACCAATATCTGAATCCTGCCTCTTTGACAAACATAAAATTCATCCAAATTAATTTTAAAATGTAACTTCTAAGCAAATTAAGTCTAAAAATTAGAAGTACTAACTTCTAGTCTTGTGGTGACCCACATCTCTCACAGGTTCTAAAGTGTGGAACACAACAGAACCACTTGCATGACCTGTCATTAGAATAGAGCTCTGAAAAGAAAATTCAGCATTAAGTTAAATGCAGTGGTGGTAATAAACATAAAAGATAGAAGCAGAGGCAACAGGACATTTATCAGTGCCAATGAGTAGATTACTTAAACCGAACATCACTTTAGTGAATGGCCTCAAGGGTTCCCCCATAATTTATGTCTATAGTGAAAAAACGATGACTAAAAAAAAATTTATATCTAAAATCTAATCTCACCTCCCTGACAAAGTCCTTGAGACCGGCTGCAGTGAACAGCTCATGCTGGAGTGTGAGGTCTGGAACACACCACACCAGGATTCTCACGACATCCTTCACTTTGTGAACAGTGACCAATGCACCATGAGCATTATCCTGACACATCTCTAACACCTGTAGGATTAGGATGACAAAGAACTATTACTTGCAGCAGAAATATATTTATGTACTCCTGAATAAGTGATTTGAAAAAAAAAAAAAAATAAACAACACTGGTCACAATTATGAAAATTATTTTTTAAATCATCGAAACCTAATAGACTTGGTTACCATTTTCCCCCCTATACACTAGAACTTGCAGACTAATCTAACAATCATGTGAATTAGGTGTGAGCTAAAACAGCTCTGCTAGTTTCTTCATGCTAAAAAGACCCCAGAACATGCCTTACAAGACTTCATCTCCTAGTCACATCGAGCAGGCCTGACAGCTAAGCTTAGACTAAACCTAATAGACCACAAGCAGACACCCAACTAAAGGCCCATAGCAGATTAGGCATATGACCCAAGATTACTAAAGAAGAAGAAGAACTGGTTGCACCAATTCTCCCTCTAAGCTGCAGTGACAGGTGGTGCTCCATAGACTCCACTATTTTCTGAGAGATACTGAGTACCTATAGGTGTGTCTTGAGTTGTTATTATTATTATTATTATTATTATTTGCAATGATATCAATTCCAGTTACTATGGGAATTGATATAACTCATCCGTCTTTTTCTTCTTCTTCTTAAAGTCCATGCAGCATTGGTTGTCTTGTCTATCCATAAACTTCTGTCTTGTGTACTTTCAATCAGCTCTAATACAGATGATCATGCTATGTCAAAACCAAAAAAGCCAAAATATTGCTGTGTTGGTTCTGCAACATCCTCTGAAGGATAAAAAAACTAACTTAACTATGAGTGATAAGCAACTAACTTAACTATGAGCAAGTCCACATTGAATCTGAGATCACTGTATCGTATCGTATAAAATCAAACAAAAATTCCAAGCTTAGTCCTTTTTTAGCCGCCTGATGGCCTGCTTTTTCAAGGACGGTTCCTTTGCTATCTTATTTATTTATCTTCCTTTGTGGTGAGCAATTACACCTGAGTTTGTTCATTTGTTGCCTAAGATCTGGTTTTTATGGGTCCTGGTTCCTGTTTTAGTTGGCTATCCGTTAGCTTTTGCACTGTTCATCTGTGTTAGTACCAAGTCAGTCACCAGTCACACCGCCGCGAAACAAACAGTCCCGCACTCTGAGCGTCCTAAACACGGCTCCCACAAGGACGACTGTCACAATCTTGTTGTTGTGCGCAGCCGTTAAATATGTAGAGGAGGTAACAAAGGTTTGCAAAAAAATTAGAACGCCCGAGGTGCCAAGATATTTTATAGTTAGGTCGGAAGATGGAGAGAGACAGATAGCTTGCTGGGTTGAGGAAGAGGTCCTTGGTGAGTTGAGTCCTGCACACTGCCTGCTCTGCCTGGGTTGATCTGAAAATAGACTGATTTGCATTTTAGATGTATGTGGGGGGGGGGGGGGTGAGGTTATCAGAGAAGCGTAATGGCCTGGAATCCAATCTGAGATCATGAGAAAACCAGGTTTTTAAAATCTTGTCCAGGTCCAAGAGTACTCTGAGAATTTTCCTGTAGCATTTAACTAGTTACTCAGATTCCCTGCCCACACTACCCAAAAAACAACCATGCCATATTTAGCCATATCAACCATCTGCATACCCATAAATCCCTGCTCTATCACTAGCAGTTGAAAAGATAGGTCATCAGTACTTGTGATGGAGTAACCACAACAACAATGGAGGTGAAAATGAAATAACAGCAGAACAACAACTGGAAATGCTTTATTAAGTTAATAAATAATGAACTTACAGGATCTTTTCCTGTCTTCAATTCCAGATATCTCTCTCCTTTTATAACTGGATCCATGAATAAAATTCTCCCATCCTAAAACAAATACAGAGTAAGTTAGTTGTCTATCCTTTAGAGAACAATGAAGAACTAACCCATAATTTCTTGGATGTTTGTGATTCTACTATGAAGTTATTCTACTATGAAATTTTACATTGATTTGTTTGCCACTACTTTCTAAATGGTAGGCTCTTGGTACCAGTGCCAAAACAAGGCACAGAAAGCAGTCTGCTTCCAAATCACCTGCAACTGGAATCGAACCTGGTATCTCCCAACTATGAGCTAATAGGGTGCAGCATCAACTAAAATATTTTTTTAAATGAGCAAAATGACAACTGCAACAAAACTTTTCTTAACTACTTGCATACAATGCAAGGACTGCTAAACTGTCATCATCATCATCAACATCATTAATGTCTACTTCTACCCTAAAGTATTGTGGGGAGTATCATTCTGCCATCCATTGCCAGATGGACAGCAATGGCTATTCCGTGTCGATGTAGAAGCTCTTTAATATCATCAATCTAACTTTTCCTAATGCTGCCTCTTGCTTTTACTTCAGATCTTTTCATGCATAACGCCTGCATTGGTAGTTGTTTTTGAGTGCATTCTTGATTCTTACTAGACGACCAATCCATTTGATCTCCTGTTTCTCAATGAATTTGCTGAATGGTGTTGCTAAGCTGTAAAACAACTAAAAATTGGCTTCTACAGTACTTATAACACATACATATAATACATAGGCATGGAAAGGTCAACAGTATTTATAAGCTATTATACCTCTAATCCAACAAGCAGATATGAGTCTCTGATAGGGCAGCTATAACCACTGCTTGACCACACAGTTACAGCAGATGGGAGCACGGTGATACAGCAGCATCTAGCCAATCCTTCATTCTTATTTTCTTTAGCTGCAGGTAATGTACTAGGCTTGTCCTGTGAAAGTCTGAAAGAGAAGTATAAAACCTAATTTAATTTAATGTGTGACCTTTCATCGTGTGTGTGTGTAAGCGCGCGTGTGCGTGTGCGCGCGCGCGCACGCATGCACGCGTGCGTGCGTTTGTGCATGCATGCGTGCGTGCGTGTGTGTGTGTGTGTGTATGAGTGTGTAAGTGACTACGTACAATTAATATCAAAAGCAGTTTCCTGGGCCAGTATCAAAATGTAAATATTTAAATATCTAATCAGTATCCAGATACATGGATAATATCAGACACTGGCACAGGAATAAAGCAGGTATGGGGTAACTTGTATGTGATAATGGAATCCTGACTTGTCTTGTCGGATAGAAAATGTATCACAGAAATTAAAAAAATAAGGCAGGAAAAAAAACTACATTTTAATAAAATGAAGAACATCTTATGCAATCTGTATCCCTGTCACTGGAGGTGAAAGAGAATTTCTGCATTAACATATGACTGTAAATCCTGGACAAAAAAAAACTAATTATTATTATTCCACCCTATAAGGGGTACATAACCCTACTGTACAGGACAGAGACCTAGACAATGACCGAGCCACTATACAGTTTAAATGAGTCTCTGGGAATGTATACATACAGAAGAATCAGTTGTATTCCATGGAACAAAAAACAAATGCAAAATGTTCTGAAGAAACTTGGACAGCAATGAAAATGAGGGGATAATATCCAGACTGGATGACTGTTTCAACCTTCTTGTCTGCAAACATCCATTTTTCTTTTTAATTTTATATGGGGTTTGGTAATAATTTTCATAGTCTGGAGTATAATATATAACTAAAAGAGAACAAGTTAATGAAACAAATGTCTAAGCCTGAATGAGTTAAATTGCTTCTAAATGGCATATTCTTTGTTCTTACACAGATATGTGATTTTTGGATCCGGCCAGTCCAGTATTCAATACTGAAAGCTTCTTCTGAATGTCAGTCATGTGCCATATAGCTACACGACAAGCTGGATCAGTTCTGAAACAAGATCATGGAAAAAACAGTCTATTTTCGCAAGAATTAAAAATGTTTGGTACATTCAAGTTATTAAGCATAAAACCCAATAGCTCTGGTAACGATCTCAAAGTTATCTTTGAAACATCACGCATGTGTAAATGCAAATATGGAGTCAATAATCAAACCCATGATGTTCAGAGTGCAAGGTAAACAATTTAAGCAGGTGTGGTTTACAGCTAGGCTGAGATATCTGTACATTTCAGCCGAACACTGAATAAACCCCTAATGAGTCACCTTTGACAACATGCTTGTTAGGGGCCAGTATGTCTGTTTAGTTTGGCCCCAAAATTAGGCCCCAGAACCCCCATGTGGAGCATTCATGCTCAAGATCTACTGATGCATACCTGCAGCAATGTGCAGGTCATCAAAGATCGGATTTGTGCAGTAGTACAGTAGCTAGCATATTTGACTGCTGGCCAGTCCTCACGTCTTCAAATAGCTTTCAAGACAAGAATTATTTTTCACTGGACTGTTCTTCCAGGACAACCCATCTCAAATGAGTCGCAGTTAATGTCCCAGTTAATGTTCTTAGAAATACAGGTAGCTAGCATGATAATAGTCAATTGATCAATAAAACCCATTGTGTGAGTAGAAATCTGTTACTTCAAAGATGGATGTGTTCAAATTTAAGAACTCTGATTGCTGTGTCTATGTTAAACAGTAAACATTAATAAGTAATCAACAGTGAATATGTTTACATTCAAGATGGCCTGTAATCTCTTGGTATTTCAGTTTCCTAAATTAATCAGGTGAACATTCTTTCAATAAATAATTTTCCCTAATTTAAGCATAAATGCCATTAATGCCATAACCATTATTAAAACTATAAAATATAAGTATGACTGTCAAGAAATAGTCTAAATATAAAACTGCTACTAGCATAGTGCTTAGAGTACCAAACCTGAATTTATCAAAGGCGCATCTGAGTAAAACAAAGACATGTGAAATGGGATGACTGAGAATATCTGTCAGCTTAACCACTGAACATAAAATGAGAATTTATACTATCAGATAGACTGTGAGAACAGCAACTCGCACCAAATTCATGTCAGGCAGAAGATCAAACAGCACTACACCTAAAAAAAGATCTGATGTGACAGCAAAAGGATACAAAAGGAGAAGATGAGCTAATGACACTTAAGACACATGGAGTGACAATAACCAATGCTATCCAACAAGTTAGTTAGTTAGTTAGTTATTCCTCTTGTGCCAAAGATGGCGCATAGGGCAGAGGTCATAGCTTTCCACGTCTGTCGGTTCGTTGCCACTTGATGTAGGTCTTGAGTGCGACTGAGACCTATGGTTGAGCTCTCCCTTGTGATGGTTCTACGGAGAGTTTCTTTTGGTCTTCCCTGTTTTCTTTTACCCTCTGGTGACCATATGAAGGCTTGGTGGGGAAGTCTCTGTATGTCCATTCTGAGTACGTGACCGATGTAATTCCAGCGACGCATTCTAATAAAATCAGACACATATTTTTGTTTTGTTTCCTGTCTTATAGATGTATTGGACCTAAAGTCCGACCAGTGAACATTCAATAGCTTTCGGAGGCATCTATTCTCGAAAGCGACTAGTTTCTTATCGATTGATACTGATGATTTCCAACTCTCACAACCATAAGTTAGCACTGGGATCACACAGGAATTGAAGACCTTAAGTTTCGTGTTGTATCCAACAAGTACTAGGCCACAAACTGATGCCTAATGCCAGCAGTGGAAGTTGCTGATGATGATGATGATAAACACCATGTCATTCTTAGTGTAAATGTCATGGAAATACATAGTAAAAGATTTTACCGTGCTGTGTACACCCAAATCTCTTGTGGATTTATGAGCAGGTAGACAACACTGAACTCCCGACTGTAACATACACTCATTATATGTTGTAACGGTGAAATGTTCGGAGGTGGCAAAACTGTAGTTAAACTCTTAATGTTGCTGCGAGCCATAATTCGAACACTGAGATAAAAAGTTTAATGACATCAGTTATAAAGGAAATACTGAAATTTAAAAAAAAAAAAAAAAAACATTGAAATATAGTTTAAGTACAATGTCTTTTTAAAAGTACTTAAGTGCACTGACTGATTGTATTTCTCTCTATTTTCCTCTATCAGGCTGCTACGTAAAGGTTTTTTTTTCCAGTTTTGAAAGTTGAATTAAGAGCCGAATTACATAAGTACCCCATCCCCAACTCCAACGGCAAGCACAGAGTTCGAATCCCAAAGGCACCCGTAAAAGTATGACTGTCTGTCCATCTCACCTTTTCCTCAAGTGTTGAGTGTTGGTCTGATACCCTGGTCACTGCTCACAGCATTATTCTCTTCAGACCATGATGATCTATCTGTGCCTCCGCACTCTTCACTCGCTTCCAAAGGACCCTTACAACATCGGGCTTGTCATGCATCAATTCACTAATTTACCACCATGAGGTTACCAAGCCAACAAGGCAAATCTAAGATATCCCTTTCAATCTTAAAAGAAGTTATAACTGGAACACCTGGCAGTGACTACACCAGTCTCATGAAGCCTGCAGCCCTGTGGGAGCAGAGTGCATGATTACTGATTCACTGACGAGTGATGTTCAACCCTACCAGGACCGCACAACGAGAGTCGGAACATCCAGTGACACAAAGTGCCACCATTTGGTGCAAGTCCCAGAAACCCTGTTCAAATATTAGGTTGTATTAGGACCCATGACTTCAGTCGGGGGTAGGGCTTTAAAATAAGAAAACATTAGGTCCCATATTGAGACAGGATTACTGATTCCTTTACAATTTTATTACATCAATATTTTTTATAGTTCGCAAAATGTATTTTTCCACAGTTCACAAAATGTATTTTATTTTTGCTAATACAACTTTTTGCTGGCCAAGCCTCTAAAACAATTGTTACTATATTATTTAAAAATTTAAAAAAAACACAAATAATTGATCGTGAATAATTAAATAGTAAATACTCTTAAAATATTATGTAAGAAAAGAAATAAGACCTGTTATCATCACTGATGGCTACTATTCGAGTTGTCTTTCCCTTGCATCCACACCGCACCATTTGTGTAACTGGACTTCGGATCAGGGCCCTGAATTGCACATTGTAGTTTAAATTCCAAAGAGTGAGAGCCCGTAAGGTGCCCAAGTACAGTAAGTTGTCATCTGTCAGGCCCATCCACTGTAATCCATCTACTGATACTACCACACTGCAACAAGAAGATAAACTTGTAAACAATGCCAGTTTATTCAGTGTTGAGAATTGTGCAGGGGGGAGTAACCAGGGTGTCTGGCTGATACTTAACTCTTTGAGTCCCAGGGGGTTTAGCATCACAGGCCTAGTGGGTAGTAAAGAAAGTAATAAAATCAGTGCATCATGCATTCATTGGGCTTCTAGGTAGGGACCTATGAATATATGATGTGTTCCTTGGGACTCAAAGAGTTAAAACTCAGAGGTAAGTTGGACATACAAACAGACTGCTACTGGTACCACTGTAATTGAAACTCTGCACTGGGTGTTAAGATGGGAACAGGATGTTTATGAGAATGTTGTAAAAGCTGTTATGTCAATTGTTACTCAATTTAATATTTAAGATTTTAAAAAATATATAAATAATGCAGTCAAGTTTGTAAAAAGAAATAAATAAACTAATTAAACTGCCTCAAAGAGTGAGAAATAGGCAAAAATATGCAAAGGTATATTGCAAGAAAAAGAATCTTAAGCCTCAACCCAGACAAATGAAGGGATGTGGGTGCGGAATCAGAAAGGAATAAAAATATAGCAAAAAGTGAAAAGCAGAAACTGGAACAGCTATTGTGAAACAAAATAAAAAAATTAGGGTTGAACTACCTAGACATGGGTGAGTTCAGTAAATTTATTTTATTCAGTGTCATACTGAGTAGCACAGGTAAACATATACCTTTATTCTGGATGATTTATTTCAATGCTAACTGATTTCTAAGACCCTTCTCCTCTAATTTCTCACTTCCCCCCTTTTACCCCATTCTGTCCTTTATATCACCAGGAAAAAACATAACCAATCAATTCATACCAAGCCTTTCCAGCCCACAGCTTCTTCAATGTCTTCCCATTTTTTCATCTATCTCTTTTTTCGCTTCTCCATGTTTGTCAGTTCTTTTATTTCTTTTACCCCATGAGTTCAAGTGAAAAAAAACAAAAACCTATTATATCAATGGGCCAAAAATTGGGCTTACTGTCTTACTTTCATTATTTTGAGAAACTCACTATTCATACAAGGAAGAATTTTCTAGTTACAATTAATGGAACTGGTCCTTAAGTTATGAATTGACAACATCACATCCCCCTATTCTAGTTACAATTAATGGAATTGGTCCTTAAGTTATGAATTGACAACATCACATCCCCCTAGCTATAAGATCTTTTATTCTTTCTTTTAAAATGTTAAATTACTATAAATTTATTTTTCTATGCTTAGTAGTTTAGGCACTATTGTTAAAGTCAAAGACCTTTTTCACATCAGTGGCTATTAGGCATGTGATGTTAGCCTTATATTTATATAGACCAATCAGCAATCAGTGGGTGGTGTTGTGAACACCACGACAGCCACCTTTACTTCCCATGATAATAATGATAACCATTTTAGTCTGGGTTGATATGGTAGCCAAAGTCAATGCTGGAGACAAATAAACCTGCCTTAAGGCCTATATAAACCCAAGACTTTAGGTTGGCAGGTGAGTTTCTAGCTACTATGCTAATACAGCTCACCCTAATGCTTTGGACAATATAATTTTGAGTGTAAATTGAACAGAATGGCCAATCAGTGTGAAAGTTTACCTGCTGAGACAGTCCATGGTGTCCAGAGACCACATGCGGACAGTTCCATCTAAAGAACAAGTAATTACAATGCTAGATGTGGCAGGATGTAGAATCAGGTTTGTCACAGCTCGAGAATGTCCTCGGAAAATGTGCACAAGTCCTCCTAGCAGACTCCAGACTTTCACTGTTTTTAACAAAGTCAAAACTTAATTTCATAAAAATGGAAATCCCATAACAGTTACTGCTGTTTAATGATAGACCTCTATACATACTATGAAAAGATATCAAAACAAATGAAAAGTAAAACCAGTCAACTTATATCACAAACACAAATTACAAGTAAATGTTATGGCTAAAGAGTCTTTATCAGCATCTTACATAAGTTAGCAATATTACAAGTACAAACATACTAGGTCATAAAATATTAGGCAAGGTGACTGGTTCCCTTTTGTATCACCTTTTCTCCACAGAAAATTCCCAAAATTTCTGAAAATTATCTGTTGCTCACTTTCACAAGCCATATCTTTTGGTTTTCTGTTCAGAGTTGTTTGCTTTAAAGTTGGAGTGCATCTTCTTGGGAAACAAGGAACCAACAGTTTGAATACAAATAAGACAGATCTGTTAAATGGATGTGCATGCTAAATTCAAGCTCTTGGTCAAAACCAAAGTCCAGAAGTGGACCAACACCCAGAGCTTTATATGAGAGTTTACTGAAAAAAATAGGAAGAAGTTTATCAAGTGACTGGCTTGAACCTAGGCAAAAAATGAAAGGAGCATTGGGTATTAAGGGTTAGACCTATATTTTATAGACCAGATGGCACTTGGTGGGTGATGTGCTGAGCATCATGCGGGCCACCTTTACCTCCCAGGTTTTCACCTGGTACCCACTGAAGACTGGATCGACCTGGGAGCCAAGGTATTTTTTGAAAGAAGTCCGGCCCCTTTCAGGACCCAAACCCACGACCTTTCAATTTGCAGGCGAGCATCTAGCCGCTAGACCACGGTGGTTCCCTTGAATACAGGCTGGAAAATATAGTCCTGTCTCTGACAGGGATTGAACCCGTGCCACTGTCTTGGCAGGTAAGTTCTCTAATGAATATCACAGTGCCCCAAAATTTTTCAATGTACTGTGATAAATAAGCTTGTTTATGTAACCATAAATCATCATAAACATCAGTCAGCTGGTCCTTTACAAAACATCGCTCCCTTCATGGTGTGCCTCAAAATCTTTCTTTCTCTAGCCAATTCTCCAGCCCTGCATGTTTTCATAATCAATGCATCTCTAATGTCTTGCATCCACGTTCATGGAGGTTGGCCTCTGCTTAGTTTTCCAGAAACCCCATCCTCCATGACTCTTCTCTCCAGGCCATCATGATGCCAAAATACCACAGCTTTGAGGACAGGATACTATTTATGAGCCAATTCTCCTTAATGTTCAGATCATGTCAGATGTCTGTTTTTTGTTTCCTTCTTGTCGGTCCACAATATTCTAAGAATTTTTCTGAGGCATTTCATTACAAAAAAGCTTTTTTTCTTCAATGATTAATAGTCCATGACTCATATCATAAGCTGTCAGGAGACAAATGCATGATCTCAAAATTTGGTTTTCAATAAAATGTGCTTTACAGAACAGACGTACCTTCACTATCTAGAGATGAGGTAATTAGAACAGTTGCATGTCTGGAATATCTGCAGCCAGTTATAGACATGGAGTGTGCTCTGGAAAAATGCAGAATATTTCAGTGTAATTAAGTACCTGTATATACCAACCAAGCAACACATTATATATTGTCCAAACTTTTGAAAAATGCAAAGAAGCAGCATAGTATGCTATAAAATCTGTCTGGCAAAATGCAGCATAAGACAGCTTCGTCAGAGATGCAGTTGATTTTATTGAAATTAATTACAGGCAATGGAGCAATCAAAGGAACCATGTTTGTGTTTACAGTTGTCTTAGGCATAGGGTGCTAGCATTATAATTTCTATAGGCCAAGCAGAACTCAATGGGTGATGATGTTTTTGTTAGTATTATCTCCACTACAACTAAGATTATTACTCCTATTACTCCTGTTTTCTTATTAATATGTTTTTTTAATTGTTATTTTCTCCCCTTTATTTATTTTATTGGTGCTGTTTACATTTCCAAGCCAGGATTAGAGCAACTTCACTTACCATTCATGCCTTCTTAGGTCGCTGGACCTCTCCTATGTTGCAAGGAGTCATGCTTTCCTTATTGTGAATGGTATAACCACTGCCTTTTTTCATGTCCTCCCACAGCTCGCTTGCGTGATTATATTTACGTTCTTCTACCTATGTGACAGTTCAGGAGTATAAAAACAGCAATATTTTTTTCTATTCCTATGCTCCTTGTAATTGCTTTCTTTCTCTCGGGGAAAAGCCACCCCCAACGAATGTAGAAATATAAAAACATCCCAGTTTCGACAGCCAAGTATCATCGCGCCTGCAGCCCTTTCCTCTGCAGTACTTCTTGCTCGTACACAGGCACCTGCGGCACATGACTCGCAACAACACAACCTCCCACAAAAATTACATACGCTGGGCAAAAACCGAACCAAGCCATATCATAACACCCCCACAACATAAAATAGGTCCAGCAACCTAAGGAGGCAGGAATGGCAAGGGAAGTTACTCTAATCCTGGGCCTGGAAACGTGAACAAGTCCCTTTTATTTGTTCCACACTTTTCTTCTTTCAATTTTATATAGCTAATCATGTGGAGACCCCCCCCCCCCTTTCCTTGGGTTATGTTTTGTGTCGAGAAAGGCTCCGGCCGAAAAATGTGATCTTCCTGTGTGTACATTGTTTCCCTCCAACCATTTCTTGTTCAGTCTTTTTAGGCTGGTCCCACCTAAAGACCCCAACTAGTTTTAACAATCAAACTCAATGTGAATTCAAATCTATGACTATAAGACAAGTATGCTAGCCACTGTGCTACTGCAGCTAGCAACAATAATACTACTGGAAGTATATTTGAACAGAACCTCTCAAACTTGAACAGTAGATTCCCCTCCAGATCATACACATACAAATCATGATCACTGCAGCAGTACAAGTGTTCCAGTGAGTGGTCTAGCTCCACATGTTTTACCCAACCACCTCCAACACTGGAAAGCTCATGCCTGCAAAACAGGATACAGTAAGAACAGCTTATTTTCTAATAATGTTTTTTTCTCCCCTAGTTCTCTCTGTCTCAAAAACATTGTATATGATGAATTGTTCTTTGTGTTATCCTACATATTTATTGTGTGATTTAATTTGTAGTAAATTTAGTCTTATATTCTAAACAAAATCTGGATGAATACATTAACAGGTTGCATATTCTACAATATATCTCGATTAACTGAAATGGGAAATAGTTGTTAGCTATACAAAGCCAATACTGGTATACTGAAGTGTATAATGAACAGTAAAAAAATTTGTAAGAAAGTGTGTGGAAGTGGCAGAGATGTGTAATGCTGTGTTAGAATGGTGAGAACATGATGGACAGATAAAAAGTGTCATGAAAAAGTATAAACAAGCAATAACTCACAAGAGAGCTGCTTACCCACATCAGAAACAAAAAGTTCAATACATTTTTTTAGGCATATCTTAAGAAAATAAAGTACTCTGCTGGCTAATTGTTTGTTTACTAGTTTTCAGATAGGACAGCTGCAGCCTCTCTTGGCAGTGGTGAAAGTCACAAGCTAGCTTTGTTCAGGCACATGGTGAGACATGATTCGATTGCAAAGGCTGCACTTTAAGGAACATTTGAGGGTAGTCGTAGAAGAGGGCAAAGAAGAACCTGGAAGGACAATGTCAAGAAATGGATAGGACTAAGTTAGCATACACTTATTCATCAAGAATAATGACAAGACATACTTTTATGGTGGGTTTTGTGTGCTAGTGCTTCCATTTATACACCTCCACGACCCTAAAAGATCAAGGGTTATGATATGATGTCTTGCATTGGTTTCGACAGTGATATCAAGAATTGACCATTCAGAAAGCAATGGCTAACCACTGAATGTAAAATTTGCCTAAAAAACCACAACAGCAACAACAACAACAAAACCTGAGAATGAAGTTCTGCAATGTGCATAAAGGATAAGCAACTAACTTTAACCAAGCAAATAAAATAATTCTAGCTAATATTTTTACATGAAAGTTTCACTCATGTTTATTTTTGTTTATGTGTGTCCACTATGTGGTTAATACTAATCATTGTGTCTGCCATGAAATCCTTAGGAGCAAAAGTTAGTTTCAATAACCTGTTAAAATGTAAATACCTGTAATGACATTGACTGGGTTGAGAACAAACAACTGGAAGATCTCCAAAGTGTAGGTGACATTGTTCTGCTAAACACGAAAAGCAATGACATTCAAAGAAAAACAGGTAATTTAGCACAAAATAGCATTAAAAAATGGGCTACAAATAAGTTATGAAAAGATCAATGTATTGAAGACCTTAATAATAGGCCAAGCAGATATAACACTGGACAAAATTGAAATGAAGGAACAGCTTATTTAGGTGATACCCAAGGAAATAAAAATTTTTTTTTTCAAAAGTCATAACATGCGTTTGCTGCTGAAGATGGGGACAGAGCTCTTATAGGGGTGTCTGAGTGCTGTGATGTTGATTCTTAATTCAACATATAACACAGAAGAACGTTCTATATCTGACACATCCTGAGAAAAATAAAATGAGCTGAGAATTATCAAACAGGCACTGAAATAGGAAATCAACGGATTAAGGAAAGGAGGATGGATCCAAAAGAAACTTTAAGGTGCAAACTGATGAGGAAAGCCAGAGGTGCTAGACTGGATTCTGCTCAAGATCTTGTAATAATAATTGCACAGGGAAGAACAGAATGCAGGAGCAGACTGTGAACTCTGTATGACATATGATGGCATAACAGGATAATAAATGAATAAATAATGAATGAATGAATAAATGAATGAATGACTGAATGAATGTGGATACCTACTTGAGAGTCAAGCCATAGCTGCCATGAGCCCGTAAGTCACCAAACTTGTCTACAGACTGTTGATAGAAACCCCACACCTGTGAAATAGAAATTGCGCTGTTTTTCTCTGTATGGAAGTATAGTGGCTAGGTGTGCCTGCCTGCCAATACAATGGTCAGGGTTCAATACTCAGGACCAAGATTAAATATTCCAAACACTACAGCTCTGGGATCGACCCAGTCTGACAGAAAATATTGTATTTTTCATAAAAGTACTGCATTTTCCAAAAATAAGACACTCCCATGTATTCTTCTTTTTCTTAAAGTCCCTGCCATGTGGCGTTGGTAGTCATGTCTATCTACAACCTTCTGTCTCATGTACTTTCAATCAACTCTGACACAGATGATCTTCCATGCCATGATGTCAAGCTGTCAGCATCTTTCCTCTCTGTCTCCCTCTGCCTCTCTCCTCCCCTTCAACTTTCCTACTGTTACAATGTACTCCAGTTTTCTTATTCTCATCATATGACCAAAGGGTGCAGATTGTCTCTTTCTGATATGGGCAGTCAGTTCTCTTCGTGAGTCAGTTTCTTTCAAGATATCTTCACTACACTTGTTATCTGTCTAGGGTATTCTCATCAATCGTCTATAAAACCACATCTCCACAGCTTCCAAATAAGTTTTCACTAATTTACCAATTGTCCACGTTTCACTTACACATTTCAAGTTCTGAAACAAGACAGAGTTGGATGAGCAACCAGAAATTTCCATCAGAGTTTACAGTGGTGAACAGGAAGAAGACAAAAACAAAATACTTAAACTGAACATTATGAAATGGCAAAAGTATACAACTACTGCATGTGGAATGTAAGGAACAATATTTATATAAACATGATAAATGTCTGATAAGAAATATTAATCTAATATCTTAATTAATGAGAAACACTACGCACCCAATTATAAATCAGGAAGAGATTAACAAGACATCACCTACATAAGTGAGACAATGACTCTTTTCATGTCAATGGTGATCACGCATATAGTAATAGACTCATATTATTGACCTGTCAAAGACTGACAGGTGATGTGACCTAAATCATGCAATCCACCTTTACATCCCAAGACATTTTCATGCACCCTGGTGGCCAAGGTCAGTTTTTTAAAAATATTTTTTTTTTAATTATAGATTTTTAAGGAGAATTGCCAACTAACTAACTAATCTAGTGCTTCTATCTTATCTCGTGTGAGTGATAGTCACGCTTAATAAATTTATTTTCTTGTTAGCAAATGAAGTATTCCACATATAGGATGATCACTTACTTGTGTTCCGGCTACACCTCCAGTTACAAGCTCATCTCTGATGGGGTTAAACAGCATAAACATCACAGATCTCATTTCAGCACATACAGAACACATCTCAACAAAATCTTTATTGTAAACCTGAAAACAATAATTTATGGATGTTTTAACTTGAGCTTTTGAGGCTCTCTAAAAAAAAGGCTGAATTTAATTATTGAAGACACAACCAATATCGTCTTCCAGATTCCGAGCCTTTGAAGCTCATAGGCTAGAAATAATCTACTTCTATTCATCTTTGTGACGGCTTTCTTATTCCAAGTAGTGACTTCAAGTGTTTGTAGGCCTGCCTCTATATTACCTCTCAACTGTCGTAGTGGTCCTCCTCATGGTCTACTCCTAGTAAGCTCTGTTGTCTCACTGTTATCTGCAATTCTCTCTGAATACCCTAAACAGTGCAGTATATTAGCCATCACAGTGTACTGTTTAAAGGTTGTGAAATTTCTTGCTGCTTTTCGTTTGCCATTCTCCAATTTAAATGTTTTTTTTTTTTTTAACAAGCAATATGGTTAACATTTTACTTATTGTCACACTTTCTTTATCTCATCATGTACAGTGGCTCAGAGGACAGTGAATGTGTTTAACAATTTATGATTCCCCCAGTACTGAGGTTCAATTTCTTAGTGGACAGGTTATTTTTAAAAAAAGTTCTGATGGTTTCAGACAGCTGTCTAAGAGTTGTACTGTAGAAGATAAGAGTTTAGGCCATCACTATGGAAGAGTTTAGGCCATCACTGTGGACGAGTTTAGGCCATCACTGTGGAAAAGTTTAGGGCTTCACTGTGGAAGAGTTGAGGCCATCACTGTGGAAAAGTTTAGGGCTTCACTGTGGAAGAGTTTAGAGCTTTACTGAGGAAGAGTTGAGGCCATCACTGTGGAAGAGTTTAGGCCATCACTGTGAAAGAGTCTAGGCCATCACTGTGAAAGAGTCTAGGCCATCACTGTGGAAGAGTTTAGGCCATCACTGTGGAAGAGTTTAGGCCATCACTGTGGAAGAGTTTAGGCCATCACTGTGGAAGAGTTTAGGCCATCACTGTGGAAGAGTTTAGGCCATCACTGTGGAAGAGTTTAGGCCATCACTGCGGAAGAGTTTAGGCCATCACTGCAGAAGAGTTCAGGGCTTCACTGTAAAAGAGTTAAGGGCTTCACTGTGGAAGAGTTTAGGGCTTTAGTGTGGAAGAGTTTAAGGCTTCACTGTAAAAGGGTTTAGGTCCTAACTGTGAAAGAATAAGGGCTTTACTGTGGAACAGTTAAAGGTTTCACCGTGGAAGAGTTTGGGGCTTCACTGTAGAAGAGTTTAGAGCTTCATTGTGGAAGAGTTAAGGGCTTCTCTGTGGAAGAGTTGAGGGCTTCACTGTGGAAAAGTTTAGGGCTTCACTGTGGAAGAGTTTAGAGTTCACTGTGGAAGAGTTTAGAGTTCAGTGGAAGAGTTTATTCACTGTGGAAGAGTTTATGCACTGTGGAAGAGTAGGGCTTTGTTATCTAATATTCCCAATGACAACAATGTGTGCACTGTAGCTGGCCTTCATTTTGGAGTTACATTTTCCAATTCAAAAACGAAATCTATCTATCTCCTATAACAATCTTTGCCATTTAATCGCTGAATTACCATTGACTGTTTGATGAGGTTCTTTCCTTTTCTGTAGATTAAAGTTGCTGGACTTTATTTTTTTTTTTAAGGTCTGTCTTCCAAACGGATTTTGGATTTAGTGGTTCATTTAATACGAATGTTGTTTTATCCAAGTGTGGTTCTAATGCATAAGCCGACTGTGCACTTGCCCAGGGGCTCCATGCTAATCTGTCAATGTTTAGTGACTTGCCATAAATAAAAATGTCATTCCTTCTGTGACTGGCTGTCATAGAAGCCCTTGCATGATGTTTTGCACACCGCCCCATTGGGCTGTTTTTAGACAGCTCTAGTTTGTAAATATCTTTTATTGATTTCTACTCCTTGCTCACTTGCCTTTAACTTTCCCCTCTAAGATGGTTTTCAAGAATTTGTTATTTCTTTTATTATGGTAAAAGTATTTCTTCTTTCTCTTCAAAATTTGTGTCAGAAAACCTATATCAGGAGGCCGGTAGCCTCTATGAAAGCTATTGTGCAGCCTGTATCTCCTCATGTACCATACAGCTTTGTTTTAACTGTTGTTGTAACAAGCCTGATTGTGTCTCTGCTGGCATTTTACACTGTCTGACTGAGTTCACCCTCACACGTCTTCGTGTTTCCTACACCGAAAAACTTGAACGTATGTTGATCAAGTCTGTTGTGCCCTGTCCTTAGTCTGAACATAGTTATTATAACTCATTGTCCTTCTTTACAAAGATGATAAAGCGAGTCTTGAAGAGAACATTTGGTGTATATCTAGCCACCTTTCTTCGATACTGGATTGTATGTCTTAGCCTCTTCATGGATTTAGTCACTATTTGATTGCACCATGTCACTGTCATTATTCTCTCTGCTACTTCCAAGCCCCTGCAACCTTAAATCCCCTGCAGTGCTGATTGTTCTACTGAAGATATTAAGTGAATCAGCTGTTGCATAAAGTCTACGAAACTGTCTTTTGGGTTAATAACTGCTTGTAGAGCTGACATGGCAACAGTCAGAAAGACCACTCTGCTATATTTGCTGTGCAGTTGTCAACTCAGGAAAGATGATGCCACTAGATGTGCATCTAACTGTGCTCTGTAATTAGATGAATATGAACCTGTTGATATAGTCTGTTCAGTTTGTAAACACTTTGGGAATTCCATGTATATTCCTCCTCCTTCACCCCTTTTTTTGCTTTTTTGGCCGAACCATCTGCATAAACCCTAAAATCCAACTCTGGTGTGAATAAAGTCTGTTAATTTCTACTTCTGTAATACACTTCCTATCAGTGCTGCTCATGGTGATTTGGAGGAGATCCCTGCAAAAGTGGTTCTGATTGTTGGCAAGCTATATCTGAGTCGAGGGTGGCAGTGGTTGTACTTCACTTGTCTCTATTTCATTTCTTTCAACAACTCTCATTTCCTTCCCAGTCTCTTCACAACCTCTGTATTTGACTAATATATCTGACATGTTGTCTGAAAAAAAAAACACACACACACACACAGAGAAGTACTTCCTGGCATACACTAAATTATACAAACCTTCAGGGAGAAATCTTTAGCAAGAACAAAGTAGCAGTTGTACTTTTTAGCATACACCATGTTTGCAATTAGACGGTACTCGTAGTTTGGGTAGACCAAGGCCCTGTGAACTAATATTGTAATATTAACAAATATCACCTGACAAAAATTATTAAAATAAGAATACAAACAGATAAAGATAATCAGGGTATTTATAAAAGCTAAGAACAATTTAATTTAGTACAAATATGAACAATTTAACTTTACTGTACAGCTGTATAGCTCAGAAACAGAGATTAAATATAATGATGACTAATAAACTACAAACATTTAAGCAGCATGCATGTGCCTGTTTCTGGAGTTAGCCAGGACTAACTGTTTGTTTTACTAGTTTTTAAATGACAGTAAGGGGCTTTCATGTAATTTTCATAGTCACAGGAAAGGAGTAATTAAGTGATGACTTGTTTGCTGCAAAGCTGAAACTTCAGCTATCGATGACTGACTACTAACATTTATTGCTTTGTGACTGCACAGAATAGGACTAAAATTTTATGAATTAATTATCAATGTGGAGCTCATGTAATTGCCCAATTTTGACTGAACCAAGATATCATAAAAAGATGCTAGTACTTGATAAGACACACACTGGAAAAATAAATAATTCCTTTTAACAGTAACTGCCAGCCACTGCTGAAATGGAATACTAATTACTGGACAAGACAAATAATCAAGGTCAACATAAAACCAAGAAATATATAATAAGAAAAAATATGGACAAGAAGAAGTATATTTTGAAACAAAATAATAAGAAGGTTTTTTTTAAAAAAAAGGAGGAAAACAAACAAATTAAACAAATAAAAGAAAACTCCTTACAGACACTACTTTAGCTCTCTCTGTCATAGTTATAGTTTTAACTTTTTCAGCACTGAGCAACTCACTGTGCATTTACAGGTATCGCCGCGGATCGGAAGGTCGTGGGTTCGCTCCCTGGCAAAGCCCGACTTTTTTCAAAAATGACCTTGGCTCCCAGGTCGACCCAGCCTTGAGTGGGTACCCGGTGCAGTCCTGGGAAGTAAAGGTGGCCGGCGTGATGCTGACGACATCACCCATCTTGTGCCGATTGGTCTATACAAATATAGGTCTAGCCCTATATGCTCTATACACCTAAAGGCGTGGAAAAGGGCACTTTACATTTTTTTTCTTTTTCTCTTTACTTTACACAATCTGTTCACTATATTCATCATCTAGTCTATGCATTAATCCATTTCATTTCAATGCTTTCAATAACCCAGTCTGTCCAACACTACTCTATTTAATCTATTTAGATCCATACATGTCCTACAGCAAGTACCAACTGTTTAGAATGCAATGAGTTGAAGTAATGCATGACACAAGTTAAATCTTTCTCCATATATCAGTTATTAAATAAACAGTGAAAAGGTACAGGGAGAAAGGCAAATATTACAATAAATACAGAAGGAGCCATTCTTACAAGGAAACAGGGGGCTGACCACTTTGTATTTTCATCTGCTGAAGAAAGCAAAATATCAAAGCAAAACTTCTGGCCAAGAGAAACATCTGTGCTAGCCAAACTTTATGGGTCGCTGAGTGAATTACAAAAGACACTGAAGTTCATACTAGAGACAACATTGCAAACTTGTAGATGATCTACTTTCAAGCGAACGAAAGAAGAAGAAGAAAAACTACATAAACAGAATTTGTAACTAGTGCTGTCCTGGTGTGGATGAACTCCTGCAAAAAACTGAATTTGTCTGTCCTAGTTTGAACTCTTAAACCAAAACAAACTTCTGTCCTATTTTCTTTTCTACCAAGCTTAACACATTCTGCCCTAATTTAAACTCCTTCTATACTAAATTTATCATGTCCTACTTAGTACTTGGAATTCCTGTGCTACTTACTACTTTAACTTCTTCTTTACCATTTAGCTGTTACATTAATCCAAGTTGTCATAATCACTCCTTCTCACATAGTTATTTCAACCTCTGATACAGAAAGTACTTCCTGAGACACAAACAGTTCATACCTCTCGGTTCCACAGCATCTCGTTTCCATGTAGTGATGCCACTTGAGTCTACAATTGCAAACAGCCTCATTCTTTCGTTGTATGTTACTGTTATTAGAAAATTATTAGTAGGTCACAAATTATCCAAGAATCATGATATGGTGTATTTTCATCAAATAGTGTAATAACCTCCTACTGGTGTATGAATCATAAACATGGTGAGTGACTAAAACAATTACTAACAAATACAAGCATCAGTATTGGAATTCTGTGCTGGCTGCTGAAGATGAGGACGGTGGGCATATGGGAATGCCCCAAGTGCTGTGATGTCAATTCTTGACTCAACTCAACTCAACTAAACTTATCAAATACAAGCATTTAATAATAGGTGCCTGCACAGAATATAAATCAGTCTAGTCTACAAATAAATAGTAAAAGATGGCAGCTTCTGCTTCAATTATGTTTTCTAATTCTAATTTTAGGGTAACTGTGGTAGTGCAGTGGCTAGATGCTCCTCTCCTGGCCTGAAGGTCTTGTGTTCTATTCTGCATTAAGGAGTTTTGTGTGTGTTTGGTCAAAATTGACCTTATCACCCAGCTCGACCCAGCCTAAAACTGTTACAAGTTTATGCCCTAGGAAGTAAAGGCGGCTGGTATGATGTTGACCATAAGACCCAGCAAGTGCCAATTTAGCTACAAAAAAATATGAATCTAGCATCATATGCCTGAAACATCACATCAAAAAAGTGCTTTAATCTTTTTTAACTCTAATACCCATTGCAGGCTGGGAAATACTTTCACCACTATGGTTAAAAGAAACAAAACACAGACAAAATAACTATCACAGCATTCATTTCATTAATGCTGTCTATCATTAGACTAAAACCCATTGCTTCACAGAGGAACAAAATACACACACTTTGATGTGTAAGGAAATCATTCTAAGCCCCAGCTAGACTCAGTCAACTTACTCAAAACTCCCTATGATTTTCTGCATTAGTTTTATCTGAAAAATGCAATTCAGCTGTGGCTCTTTGAATCAGATCCAACAATTTAGTAGCTTGATTAACCCTCTGAGTGTCATGATGTCATAATTGATGCCTGAGTAAGGCACTGATTACTAATTACTGATTTTAAAATCAATATCTTAGCATACCAGGAATACCCGTACTTTATCTCTGACAGCATGTCTTAACTCTTTCTATAAATGTAAGGCACCCACTTTGAATGGTTAGTCTGAGGATAGCATGATCTTTTTCCCTTCCTATTCTAGAATGTCATTACATTAATCTGTGCTGTCTTGTTTGTTAGTTTAGTGTCTTCTATCCCCTAATGTTATTGTTTCAACTTGTTTCAATTTCTTTGCTGTTTCAAAATGGAAATTTAAAAGACCAAAAAACTTGACTCACAGAGACACAGCTTGTCTCCAAATGGTACTGAAAGGGTCAGGTGTAGATGCTGATTGATCCTGCAGCACACTGGTTGTACATGCATCACATCCTTCCTTTCATGCATCTTGTCTGATTGGATCCACACTTAACTCCAAAATCATGCAACTTTTCTTCATGTTGTTTCACCTTATATTGTATCTTTTAGCAGAATTTGCTCCTTAATGGTTTTCAAAATGTCTGCCTTATGCAGTATTAGTGCAGTATTATTGCTGTTACTTTTCAGCTACAAAGTCTATTTTTCATCACCTCACCATCCTGCATCACCCCATACCTACTCCCTCCCCATCTTCAGCAGTATATCCTCATGAGTGTCTGTATTGTTGCTGTGCTGATGCTAGGTATCCACCAATGCCACAAAACTGACTGAGAGCCAAAGACTATGACTTCTCAAGTACATTTATTTTTCAGCTATCCTCTTCAGAGCTACAGTGACTGCATCTACCTCCATCTTCATGCATGAAGTTGAAGAAGACAGAAAGCACCCTGCTGTTCTACCATTACTTTTCCTTTCAGTCTAGCTGAAACTCTGAGGCAATAATCATAACAATAAAATGATGGGTGCTCTATATCCAAATGGACCAAACGCGCTGGATATTTTAGTATGAAAATGTGTAGGGGTGCTTGAGGTTGCCTTGATTTAACCTAGTGTGTAAAAACAATTATTTTATCAATTATGTCACATGAATAAAATCCAGTTACACAGGTAATTTGCTTGGTACTTATTTTTCTGTCTTTTATCCCATACGGAGCATAGGTCCTCAATTAACTAATGCCAGGTAATCCTGTCCTTTGCTACTGCATACAGCTCACTCCATATCTTCCATATATTTTCAACTTTATTTTCTAGCTCCATTGCCCATGTTTTTTTTTTTTTTGGTCTGCCTTTATTTCTATCTACCTGTGGGTTTCAGTGCACAAGAATTCTAGTGATATTTTAGTTATATTATTGGTACTAAAGAGTTAAAAATAACACTTACCTGCCATGAACTGACAACTCTATTTGTTTTCTATTTTCCAGTTACATTTAGGCATTCTAGTTGTATTCTTGATAGCAATGCGTTAAAAACAACATTTACCCGCCATAAATTTACAACTCAACTACAGAGAAATAACAACACAGTTACAGACAAAAGCATAAAAATTGCATAAATTATGTTGTTACAACAGTAAAACAAAAGCCATACTAACCACATATTATCTCTGTGCTCTTTTTTTCATGTTCATAAGTGGCTTTTAATACAATCCCTGACGAAATGGACTGAAATTGACTGGATGTATTTTCTTCACAAAAATCATTGGATTCTGTTTCTGACAATGAATCTCTAGATTTTGCAGGGGACATTTTGATTTCTGTCAGGATGCGTTCACTGCCCAGTCCAGTGATATCAACATTATTCAAGTTATCAGCTACAAAATCTTTACCTTTTTAACTCTGAAAAATAAATCTCTGAGGTCTGAATTTCCATCTTGTGTTAGTTGTTACAATAAAAATAATCTTGTAATTCCTAAATCAAAGCTCTTACATTTCTTAAAATTGGAATGTCTGCAATATACTAATGAAACAAATATAAAAATATAAGTGGCCATCAGTTAATTTACTTTCATAATAATTAGTTTTTTGCTTTTAAAGATATGCAGAAAGGAAAAGTTGCAAGAGGGCAACGATACAAGTGGGAGGACAATATCAAGAGATAGATGAGGCAGAGGCTGTGAGAGTGTACAACCACGGCAAGAGACAGAGCATGTTAGAGATCCATTGTAACCAACCTTGACAGTGGAGACGGCACCTGATTGATATATATATATATAGACATATATATATATATATATATATATATATATATATATATATATATATATATATATATATATATATATATATATATATATATATATAAATATATATACATACATATATATGACATAACATTTTAACAGGCTCACTGCTCCAACTGCAAAGACATTTAGGCCTATGATTATGTAAGATTTTCGTCATTTCAGATCCCATTTTGCTGGACCTTAAGTGATTATATGTCAATTTGTGGTGTATTATATAGTTAATGATACTGAAAAAATACTTGCACTTAAAACTGTCAGCAGTAGTGATATTTCTGGACGATGATTTTTTTGTCAGGCCTACAGGACCCAAATGTTGTGTGTCTTCTAATAAAAATTAAAAATGTATAAAAACAAAAGTTGCTGAACATTTAATTTTATTACTTGTGGTTAAATTGTAAATTTAAAATATGTAATATAATCTGCAATTTTCACAACTGAAAGAATATACTGACAACATAAATAATTAACATTTGTACTTTGTAAAATAATTATAGAAATAAATCATTATCTTCAACTGTTTTTAGGGACACAGACACATTAAGAGTCCTACTATCTAGTCACGTCATATTTGTGTATGTGTACTGTACGGTGTTGTTCTTTGTGTGCTGATGATAGCTAATTGCCGCAACGTCCTTTGTTAGTTTATTGTGATCGATTTTATAAAGCTAACATAAACTATTTGTTCTTTTTCATCCCTTTTTTCTCTGCCCTATAATTTCCTACCCCTTTAAAAACTGTTTTTAAATGCGTTTGTGTGGCCGCCATGACTTCAGATTCCAGCGCCATGGGGACGAATAACTTATTTGTATAATTTAAGTGGTCCACAGTATGTTGAGGGCACTATAGTATTTAGACTAATGACTGTTATTCCGAATGAATGCCAACTTCCTTTATTTTAGTTAGCAAATCTTCTTTTGTTTAGCCCTAGTGTTTAGAATTTTCGCACCGGTAATGAAAAACACAAAAGTAACAATCTCCACTATAGAGAACCTTTGTTTACTAATAGCAACCAGATCCTGGCAATTCTGCCTTCGGTTTTTGTTTTCTCTGACCGGTGTCTCGGTACGTCTTATACCCAGTACCAGACCGGCACACTAGACGAGAGGGTTGCGAATACCAGCATCAGGGAGAAAGCTGGAATAAGATCATGTCTGGATTATATTGACTGACAAAGAATGCAATGGTTCGGCCATCTGGTGAGAATGCAGCCGGACCAGACTGCATATGAGATTTTTTTTTAACAACCTGGTAACAATGAGACGATAGAAGAAGAAGCAGAACAGACCGACACTACTATGCCATGTGGCTTGTTAACTAGTCCTGTACCTGACACTTTTAATCAGTTTTCCGATCCCAGCTTATTTCTTTAAAGCAACACTCAATCAATCAGGTGCCGTCTCCTCAATAAAGGTTGGCTGCAATGCATCTCCAACAAGCCCTGTCTCTTGCCCTTGATGTATACTCGCTGATACTGCTGTTCGTCCATCTGTTGATGTTATCCTCTAATTTGTAACGCTGTCTGCCTCTTGCTCGCCTACCTTGAACCTTTCCCTCTAGGATGATCTTTACAATACTGTTATGTCTTTTAATGTGACCAACATTAGCAACACTATGTTAGCTTTATTATTAGAGTAACATACCCATAGGAGATGATACGAGAAATTAGCAACTGGGATTGCGTGAAGTGAGTGAGAGTTTGAGAAGTGTAATAAATTCATGCTATAGCAACAATGGTCCTAAAATACCGTGTTCAGATTAAAGCTAATCACATTAGACATCGCCGAAGGCTGTGATTCTCATGCATCACTGTAGCTAGGGTGAACATAATATCTTGAGTTAAAAACGAGATTTACAGACGTGAATTTGAGTTTTTTTTTCTTTTCCTTTCAATCAGACCATGATGAGAGCGACGTTTTGCAAAGGACCTGCTACATGATGCTAAATGTATGTATATAGTTTTTGAACCAAATCAATAATGTGATCTTTTTGGATCCTAAAGAACGCATTATGTGCCGATTGTTAATAATGTAACTGTTCTGATTAGTGATTAGTGGTTAGAAAGGATTATTATCACATAGCTGCTCCGATCTCCTCCTCAAAAGCTCCACACGTGTAAAACGACTGATGACGCCTGTTCTGTGTTGGTTAATGAAACGTCTTGTCCCTTAGTGAAATGTTCATTTCTTGCAGCTCCAGGCTGCACCCCCATGTCCACCAGTTAAGACAGGGATACGGAATCATGTCCTTTGGCGTGATGCTCGGTACGGTAAGTGCAGCACATGGCATTAAAAACATCACTTCTGTCCAGTACTGTGGCCAGCCATAGCAACCGAAGTGTCAGCAAGATAGCCTGCACGCTCGTTCCATTGAACACCCGCATAACCTGGCACAAAGATGAAGGTTAGGGAAGAAATCCGTGAAGTGCTCAGTGTTGCAATCCCTTCTTGCCTGATAAATTCAACTTGGATTTTTTAAAAACATATTTATCGAATCATTAAGAATGCATACGTGTGTGAACTTTTGAGTACCTAGCAAAGCTAATGGCCTTGTTACAGCCAACGTTTCCATTGTATGGCTATTAGTTGTAATTACAAAAGTGTCATTCATCTCCTTGTTGGTTTTCCCCCTTGAGCTTACTGTGAATGCCCCTACACTTCGCTTGCCCCTAATTACTGACCCATCGGTATAAACTATAGCATCACCTTCATCGGTATTTTCGTCAATCAGTGTGCTGACTAAAGTGTCAACAATGCCAGGAATCTGCTCTCTACAGCTTCCATCAAGTGTGATATGGACTGTAGTATTAATGTTTGGAGAGGGAGGTATAATTATCCATTTAATTCCAAATTTAATGTCAGTAAGGCGGCATACATGTTCGATGGCATCCTCAGCCCGACCCATCCAGGATTTGCCTCGTTTGAGTCTTTCAATATTTTTCTAGTCTGTTCATCTGTGTGGTGCTGAGTATCATGATGGCCAAGGCATATTCAATGGTGGAGAGAACTAACGCAAGATACGTTACAAGTAACCGTTGCTCAAAGTTTGTAGCTACCGTAAATTGTATTGCGGAGAGACCTTTCTTGGCTTTGGTTATTATTGTTCTCTGGGAACCAAACAATCCATCTTTCAGCGCCGAAGGTTGTGTAGTAGATGCCCTGAAACAGTCCTCACCCATTTTGGACTGCAGGTTACACTTTCTTTGGGTAACCTTTACAGGTGTCCTGATTATAATTGCCTTGTAGATCGAACAGGGTATCCGTCCTTGTCCTGTTGGCCTGCCATCAGCACTAGGATTCTTGAGTCGCACCGTCTTAAACATTCAAGTCATATAGTCAGAGATTTTGTAATCTCATGGTGTCACTCACAGCTTTCAGGTAGCCTCATGGAGGCCATATCTGGCACTCAGGCACGCAGCTGATGTCCAGGAAGGTGGAGGGGATAAGTGGCACTCACTCACGCAGCTGATGTCTAAAAAGGTGGAGGGGATATCTGGCAATCACGCACGCTGGTGATGTCCAAGAAGGTGAAGGAGATAAGTGGCACTCACTCACGCAGCTGAAATCCAGGAAGGTGGAGGGGATATCTTGCAATCACGCACGCAGCTGATGTCCAGGAAGGTGGAGGGGATATCTGGCAATCACGTAAGCAGCAGATGTTCATAGAGGGCATTAACCATTATAGGAAAACTCATCAGTGAGTGACTTTTACACAGACTAAATACACAATGGACTTGCCTCAAGCTAGTCCAGATTTCTGTAGCCATGTCGTAAATAAGGATGTCTGCAGTCGAGCCGACTGCAAGAAATTATAAATATATCACAAACAAGTTTTGTATCCATTACAGGACGTTGCAGAACAAACCCCAGCATATTTTGTGTGTGGCTGTTTTGGGTTTTCTAGGCAAATTTTACGTTCAGTAGTTTGCCATTGCTTCTAAACGGTCAGCTCTCGGTACCGCTGTCGAAACCAAGGCAAGACAAATTGTCCGCAGCTGGCATCGAACCTGGAACCATGGCATTATGAAGCCCATTCGCAACGCCTAAGCCATAGACGCTGACACACAATGCGACTAAAAAGCTTCAACGGAAGGAATGCTAAAAAATGCACACAAACACAACCTAACGTTTCAGTCAAAGTCTTTATCAACGGAATACTAAATACAGCACAGTCTGTGACTGGAAAACGCAACGAACACAACAAAAGACCTAATTAAAAAAACAAAAACAATATCTTCTCCGTGGAGACCCCTCCCCCCCCCTTTTCCCCTTTTTTTTGCCCCCCCCCCCCTTTCCACCCCACCCCCTTTTAAAACTCTTTCCGCTCCAGCCACCATGTACAGAAGTACACTTTTTAAGTGTTGTGATTATACGTATATCATATCAAATATATTGTTATATTTATTTGTCATAAAGCTCATTATTTTAATTATTCACCTAAATAAGGCTGAGGTCTCTTGTGGCTCCCCTCCCCTCATGTTTAACTCGACAGGCGCCTGGACCTGAC